TTGTTTATAAAATGTCACAGAAGTGACCGGGGAGAATATAATTTACATTGCTGGAATTCTTATAAGATAGTGATTAATTTGAATATAATCATGTTATAGTTTGCACTAGACAAAAATTTTAGTCATCATTTAGTACATTATTTTGAGTACATGTACAGTACAGCTTTAGGACAGTGTAGCATGCCCAGAGAATCATTAGGCGCAAATATTAAAATATGATGCACCAGATTGACTCGTGCAAAATAGGAAAGATTCGCTTTAAATTAAAACATTGTCCTTAATTGTGGGTGTCGCTTTAAATCAATAATCTTAAATTAAATCGCTTTAAATCGACGTTCTACTGTATATGTACAGTATCTCAAAAAAGTATCTATGTACACTCTGCGTGAAACATTACGAGACCACAGATGATAGATATTGGGACATGCATTTACTTTGGTATATAGTTTAACATAAGTAATGAAATGTGGATTAATTTCAGCTTAATTAATATGATGTTCGGTTACCAAATGTAGTAGGATCAGTACGCCAGAGCCACACAAACCAACCCTCCCGAGACATCACAAGTTGCATGTAGCATTTTGGATATCACCGAACCCATTCTGGCAGATATTTTTTTTTTTTAGATACTGTACACACCATCCTTTCCTGCCCTGATTTTAGAGACCTGATGCCTTCCCGCATTCTCGTTGTTTATATTTCAAGTTGTGGTGTGTGTGTGTGTGTGTGTGTGTGTGTGTGTGTGTGTGTGTGTGTGTGTGTGTGTGTGTGTGTGTGTGTGTGTGTGTGTGTGTGTGTGTGTGTGTGTGTGTGTGTGTGTGTGTGTGTGGTTGCGTGTGTTTGTGTGTTTGTGTGGTTGTGTGTTTGTGTGTTTGTGTGGTTGTGTGTTTGTATGTGGTTGTGTGTTTGTATGTGGTTGTGTGTTTGTGTGGTTGTGTGTTTGTATGTGGTTGTGTGTTTGTGTGTTTGTTGTGTGTTTGTATGTGGTTGTGTGTGTATGTATTGTGTGTTTGTGTGTTGTTGTGTGTGTTGTGTGTTGTGTGTGTGTTGTGTGTTTGTATGTGGTTGTGTGTTTGTATGTGTTGTGTGTTTGTATGTGGTTGTGTGTTTGTATGTGGTTGTGTGTTTGTATGTGGTTGTGTGTTTGTATGTGGTTGTGTGTTTGTATGTGGTTGTGTGTTTGTATGTGGTTGTGTGTTTGTATGCATCTGTGTGAGTGTGTGTGTCTGTGTGTGTGTGGGGGGGTTCAAAATAAGTGGTTTACTCAAATTAATCGCTCTCTTACAAAATTTCAGCAATACAAGTTATATTCTCGTAAGTCAAGTCAGTGACATTTTATAAGTGTTAATGTATCCTCCGTGTGGGGGTGGGGGGGGGGGGTTAAAGTGACTGTGCCACCTCCCTCCCACAAGGGCCGTCTCACTGTTTGTCTACTGCACTGAACCATTCATGATACAATATTGCTTATTTGTTTTTCATTAATTAGTAGATACGTTACTGTACTAATCTGTGCTTATTAATACTTGTACCCTTCATATACAATACAGCACAGTATAGTACTATGTATATACTGTACCTCATAGGTAAAAAATTATGTCATTCAAGACATATTCAGGTCATAAGACCCACTAATCCCCCACCCAACACTGGGTCGGGTTAGTAACGTGACCCAATAATCTCCCACCCAACCTTCATCGCAAGTGTTAAGACATGGTTAGTTATGTATTACAGTCAATTGAGTGAAGTGTGTAACAGAGACGTAACGATCGCCCAAGTGACTAACGAGCCGATCAGTGGTGAAGGTAAAAGAAACAGTTCTGTTCACGCCCGTATCATAGTGCTTTTCTTTTTATTTAACCAAACTTTTAGATAAAGTATTCAGGATTATTAAAAAAAAAAGTGTAACGAAATTAGAACTGATTTTTCTGACTACGGTAACAACATTTCTTATTTTTCTTTTTCTCTTTAATAAAAGAATGGAATTCCCATCACTATATCATATAGAAATATTTTGTTTAAGGATAACTTATTGGAAACGTTTCATAGAGAATTTATGAAGGATCATTATGGTATCAAATTCATCTCCATATCACAATTAGCCACGCTTGAGGGGGGAGGCTGCCCACGCGACCCTACCCACCCACTCACTGGTCTCTTCTCCTTTACATACATTACATAACATTAATTAAAAGATACATATTTTTTACATTAATTTTACTACATCTACAACCATCGTTAGTCGAGGCTTTAATGTACACAAAATCAATACAATATGCTCTAATACCCGCTTATTTCATCCCAAATACTCTTGGATAATTGCTTTAGAAAAATCCCAAAATGGCAACTGTAAACTGACGGGAATCAGTCGTGTCCATAGGGTATTGTAGGAGATACCGACTGCACCCTCACCAAGAGATCACTCAATATATGAGTATAGTACATTTTAAAATGTTATGTAACATAATGTTAGAGGCATACAATGTGATAAGAAGTATACAAAATACTGTAATTTAGCTTTCATGTTTATTCAAGACATCTTCAGGTCCTGAGACCCGCTAATCTCCCATCCAACAATGGGTGACCTGACATTGTATCAAAAGGTCAGAAATATGAGACCACTAATACCCCACCCTACCTTCACCTGACATTGTGTCAGGTCAGGTCAGCTACATGGGAGTGAAAAATACCAGTCTTTGCTGTAACACACAGCTTCAATATTTATTTAATCAAACTTTAAGATAAACTACAGTATTCTGGATTATTTTAGTTAACAAATGGAGTTTCTAACTTAATTAGAACTGCCTTTACAGATTCCGGTAGTTTAGACTCTTGGAAATCTCCCCAGCACACAGAAACATTCTGAGGATGTGGGCTAGTGTTTGTCTGTGAAAGATGCATAGTTTAGACACTCAGAAAGTATTTCCAAACTAACCGGAAATATTTCCGGGGATGGGGTTTTTTCCGGGTTTGAGAGAGTCATCCAGTTAGCCGGAAATCTCTCATCTCCAGAAGTGCTCTGTACCAAATGTTCCAGCTAACGGGGATATTCAAGACACCAACAAAATAGATGTTCACTCCACTGTCAACAAAGCCCAACTGACGCCTGGTGGCTGAGTCAAGCGTCTGATGGGACCACAAAAAACTAGTTCCCTGTACTGCATATATTATCAATACGTTAAATGTTAAAATGACTAATAATTTTAATATGAAAAATGCAAAAATATTAAAGAGCACAACTTTCTTGATATTTACTCCACTGGAAACGAATGTAAACATAGAACAGATTACTGAATTGGCAGACTAGCCAATCAGCTGATGCTCACAACAATACGTGATGTTGGTGAGGATTTCGTTAATCAAATTTTTTCGTTAACCGGATTGAAGATTCTTATGGAAGGTAATTCGTTAACCGAAATTTCGTTAACCGAAGGATCACTGTACTATATGACTGTAAGAGTTCACATTATACCTAAATATGTAGGTAGCCAGCAAATAAATATAAATATGCTAAGAAGGATCACCTGTAATTTCATAATTTAAAAAATATCATAAACCCAGGAGCAGATGCACTCACAGTACTGTACCACCATCTACAGTTAATTAGTTATGTTTCTACAGCAGTACCTCAATCTATACATAATCATATGGAGGAAAAAATTTATTTACAGGACAAACACAAAGAGATGTTTGTGGCTGCCGGCACCTTATTTATTTGCAAACAAACCACGCTACAAAGCAATGCATATCCACCTACGGCTCACTTTGCATGCGTGCAGAAAATACGATATTGTAATATTGTCCCATTCACCAGCAAAGCCTGCGTTACGTAGAGTGCATTTGCCCAAGTGAAAGCAGGAAAGGAGTATGTCTCATCGCGTCCATCCACAACGTACGTCAGATATAACTGACCAAAGAACTGTACCATGTGGATGCACTTGTGCAGTTCAAGTTTAACTATGCAGTTTTGGCCTGAGGGTGTGTAGCAGGTAATATCTCACTTTGTGGGATATTACCAGAGTCCCTGAGAGCTGCTGTAAGTTTATAAACAACTCTCTCTCTCTCAGACACACACACTTACTTTAGCTCTCAAGAGAACACAATGGTGATTTACCTGATACGAATGATAAGAGCACAAATAACAAAGGCTGCTGAATCCTCATAATTTGTTATGTGCAAATTTCTGGCAGCATACAGTACTGTACTGTATTTGTAAAACAATATTCTGCAAGCATCATCCTCACTGAACACATTGAAAAACTTGAAATGATAAGATACACAGAAATATAGAATAAAAACTATTCTAAATATGGTTGAGCAATATGAGGCCCAGGTAAAGCAATTGAAGAAATTATGAAGAACAGGGTTTCTTAACAGCACAACTGAGAGGAGTGAATAATAAGTAGATTAAAAGCCACGAGAGAAGGCAGTGTCGAGTAAAACATAAGGATGTACAGTCTCGTTCAAGATTCTTCGAACACTACTAGACAGCTGGCAACTCAAGGCTGTTTGTTTACTATACAGTTGTACGTAGTAAAAATTATGAATAAATGTAAAAGTGATCGGTGATTAGTTACTTAGTTCCCTGTTGCTTAATTTAATGGTAGGGCTTTGTTGTTTCGTATTATATTATACTACGTACTTTAGTAAACAAACGGCCTCGAGCTGCCAGCTGTCCCCAGCAGTGTTCAAAGAATCTCGAACGAGACTGTACATCATTCCACTTGTTCAACTGTAGAGGAAATAAAGCATAAAAGAAAGATCACTGGAAGAAAAGGCAACCCTTTTCTGACAGAAGATTTGAGATTCTCATGCCCACATGAAGACAAAAGTCATCAAATACCACAAGTCAAGGAAATTTATATTACAACTCCCTTTTGAACTACATACAGTACACGAAGAAAACTATCTATTGAATATTCCACATTCAAAATTGATCATTTCACCCTTATGCTGATTTATACATCTTCCACTTTATCCTTTTTATCAACCGTATCACTCACCATTGGCGGTGGCTGGGGAATGGTGGGACAATATGCCCCACTTACTCGGGAACACGCAGGGTTGCTCATGGCATTTGGGGCTGGTGGGAGATTGGACTGATTGGTACTGGGTCGGACAGCCCACATACCTTCCACACCCATATCTACATTTCCTCCAATCTGTAAATACATTTGAGAGAAAATATCATTACTTTTTATGGAATAAATATTACATTGACATCACTCCAAAATTATTAATTTAGACCAACTAGATCAGATAGGTCTGGCCAACAAGGTATTGTATAGAATATTGTACTGCCATGTCATAGGGCATACATCTCACAAAATAACAGCATTTTAATCCGAAACATCTGAAAATAGTCTAATTGTTTATTTATTTTATAATTGCAGTCCAGTATTACCTCTCTTCATTGAACTTCTATACAGTACAGTAAGTCCTCGCTTAACTTCGTGTCCCGATTAACCAAAAATTCGTTTAACATCCCGGTGATTCGGTACAAAGTCGTTTTGCGTCATCACGGACTACTTTTTACTGCGCATCACCCTCTCTCGTCTGGCCGCGCTACGCTCTCTCGGCTCGGATAGCTACCCACACTTGCGTAACGCCACAGGGTCCCCAAGCGACGCCATGCCAGTCTCTGTTACGACTTCACATCATTCGTGTGTGCTAAAGTGCTTTTACTCTAAAACTGTACTCTAACCATTCGAAATGGCTTCCAAGTGCCCATCAAGTGCTACTGATGCTAGTGTAGTGAAGAGGCAACATAAGACCATTACCCTTGCTACAAAAATGGATGTATTAACCCGATTTGAAAAAGGGGAACGTGCTGGGGACATAGCCGCTGTGCTTGGTCTAACCCCCACAACGGTGCGTACTATCCGGACCAACGCTGACAAGATTAAGGTTAGTGATGGAAGTGGTACTACTCTCAGTACAATTAAACAACTCGTACTTGAAGTACTGTGATAGAAAAAGTGGAAAAGATACTGGATATGTGGATGGAGGACCAGAATCAATGCAATGCGCCTGTGAGCCTTATGGTTATCCAGAATAAGGACAGATCCTTGTTTGACGACATAAAGGAAACCGAGGGTGAAGGATCGGAAGAAGAGACCTTTACGGCCAGCCAAGGCTGGTTTCAACGATTTAAGCGTTGTTATAACTTCCACAACATAAAGATGACTGGTGAAGCTGCTTGTTCAGATACTGTTGCTGCCAAGACATTCCCCCCTGAATTCAAGCAGATTATCCAGGAAGGAGGCTACTCATCGAAGCAAGTCTTCAATGTGGATGAGACTGGTCTCTTTTGGAAGAGGATGCCTAAGAGGCCAGGGTTTAAAGCAGCAAAAGACCGTTTGATGCTGCTGCTTGGCGTGAACACTGCTGGTGACTTCAAGCTGAAGCCTATGTTGATTTCTCATGCTGCCAACCCACTGGCCCTGATAGGTTACTCAAAGGATCACCTTCCTGTGATCTACAAGGCAAAGAAGAAGGCATGGATAACCGGCACCATATTTAGCCAGTGGTTGAATGTGTACGCCGTCCCTGCACTGAAGGAATACTGTGCCAAGGATAACCTGGACTTCAAAATTCTTCTGATCATTGACAATGCTCCAGTTCATCCTCCCAATCTCGACAACTTGCATGACAGAGTAGAGTTGTATTCCTGTCCCCCAACATGACAGCACTGATGCAGCCTATGGACTAAGGCGTCATCGCCGCATTCAAGGCGTATTATTTATGCCGTGCCATGACCCAGCTGCTCAAGGCTACAGACAGATAAAAAAACCTTCGATCCGAGAATATTGGCGTGGCTTCAACATTCTTCCTGCAATTGACAACATTGGCTGTGAATATGGATATCCTCAGCTAGGCTAGACAGGCAGGCTTTGATGAGCTGGAATCAGAGGATATTGAGGACGTCCTGGCATCCCATACAGAAGAGCTCACCAACGAAGATCTGCAATTGTTAACAGAACAAAGTCCCGCTGAAGACGACCAAGAACCTCAACAAACACTAACTTCCAGGAGGATGGCAGAAGCGTTCAACATGTTCCAGCAAGCAATGCAAATCCTTATAGATGACGACCCAAACAGAGAACGTAGTTCAAAGGTTCAACGCAGCATTGATGACAGGCTTGGTTGTTACACCAAGATGTATAAGAAGAAGAATAGCACCACCAAGCAGTCAACACTAGATTCATTTTTTTGTCACGGGACGGCAAAAACAGCTTCTTCACAACAGCTGGCAGCCAACGAGGAGCAAACATTGGCGAAGGAACCCTAGTCAGAGCAGTCATCTTTTCTAATCCAAAATATTATGAAAAAAAAAAAAATCATGGTAGCAATGGCACCATACCCTAGTTTTTTCCATGAGGTGTTAAATTCAGTACAGTAAAGCCTCGAATAATGACAGTAATGTGTCCAATAGTGCAGTGAAAGGTGAATCATAATATCGCAAATCATTAATTACCATTAAAATAAAGCAATAATAACCTCTCATAAGCAGCACGGGCAGTTCCCAATGAGAGGTTCACGGCACCATCAGCTCGATGAACAGGCTTTGTGTGAAATATCACATAGTCTAGAACTGCTTTTAGTGCTCTTGTGGTATGGTCGGTAGCGTTCCCTGGTCCCATGCATTAGGTCAAGGGTTCGAGTCCTGGCTGGTGAGGTCGTTGATTATATGTTCAAAGTCCGCGTGTTATATGAACTAAAAATGAAGTACATATATATATATATATATATATATATATATATATATATATATATATATATATATATATATATATATATATATATATATATATATATATATATATATATATATATACAGTATATATATATATATATATATATATATGTTTTAAGTAATGTTATTTAATGGTAATAAATGGAACATTAGAAGTAGCTAACCACTAATGGCAAAGAACAAAAAAAAATAAAAAGAGATGGATTGGAAACCCCAACATATATGTGCGCATTTAAGGATACCGCGTCATTTATCTTTTTAAGAATATGTACAAAAGATTCATTATTGTTTATTACTGAATATGTATTTTATTGAACTAATCTTTATATATGCAAAATGAACAATTCAATACATTAACAATACCTGTACGTAGAATACTGAAATACACAAGAGGATAAGAGACGGCATTGTTGTCAGTGTTTACACCCATAATGTCAATTATCCACCTGAAACTGAAGAAAATAAGACCGTGGTTGTTGTTGTAATTAAATTAATGTAAAAAATATGTATGTTTTAATTAATGTTATTTAATGTAGTACAGTATCGGATCACTTGGAAATTAAACAAATTTTTGGTCTAAGGTTCAGACGTAGTACCAAAAGAACGTTAAGTGGGACGACGTTAAGCGTGAACTTACCGTAATTTAGTCCACAAAATAAAGCAATATTCTACCTCAATTGTTACCTACAGAAGGGTGAGCTTTGCTGCATCTCAAAGGTAGAGTTTGAAACAGTTTCAGGTGTGTCATGTCTCTAAGCAGTTTTATGTCTTTAACTTGTGGGAGGAAGAATATGATTTGTTTCGTGCACGATATCTGGGAAGTATCCTTTACAATAAATATAAGAAAACATACAATATATGAGTGTAGTCATAGTTTAATTCCCGCTCCCTGTCATTTATGCATGTTCCCATATAGCAAATCATCCCCATAGTTGAAAGATAAAGTTCTTAATGTTTGTCAACCAAATATATTATACTGACTATACCGTTTGCAAGCATGTCCACTGGATCATATTTACCATTGCAATTCGAGATTTAATGCTATAAATACAGAAGAGATAAGATAATTTCAGAGATGCATCTCACAGGCACACTTGCCAACCTTACTGAGACAACATGAAGTGCAGTGCTCAAAGTGAAAACCATCAAACCCAGGGGTGCAGATATTTTTTTGGTGGGTGAACCTTAAAATCCAATTACAGCCATAAATGCCTACAGTAGCTATTTAAACCTGCATCTAAAACTTTTGCTTTGCTCTGACAAATACCTTGATAGCCCATACCTCCTATTTTAGTCATATCTTCTCACATCCTTCTTAGAAGTACAAAACATCTCAAGAGAAATTCCCTTCAACTGTCCCATTTCAAACACTTTCTTACCATTTCCATTCTGTTACCCCCACATACAACTATCTGATATCTTATTTCTGTCTGTAGCTTGAATTTTAGTCAAAAGTATTGTACTACAATACTATGCAGTCAATAATCTCCTCCAATAAATGATCGTTCACCAAAGTTTTGGACATACACTGACAAACTTTCCTCCTGAAAATATACTTTATGAAATATTTGAGACACTGGATCAGTGACTGTGCATGGTGGTGAGTGATGAGTCTATTTGTCTTCACTGAGTTTGAGGAGTAAGTTATATGGTGATTGTAGGAGAATGATGATAGTACATTGAAATCTTAATTGTAGACTTGATAACATTGAGTGTTAAGAGTAATGAAGCAAGTCAGTGTATAAGTATGTGCAAAAACTAAGAAAATAACCAAACTGACACTAAGTAATATGGAATATTTTTACATGCTTTCCTTGGACATGTTCATTATAGCATCCACTATGTAATTATCCATTTTTAGGAAACTATAGACCCTAAGCTTTTCGGTTTAGATACCTTACTTTACTGTACATTAAAGTTTAACATAAATGATTTAACAAATCTTACAGGTAATGAGGGAAATCCATCTCTTGCAGGACTTTGTGCACTTCTAAAATTACTGTTATGATTTCGACCCATTCCTCGATTTGGATAGTTTCTGGAACAGAAAAAAATTTTCATTAAAAAACTCCCAAACATCACATGTGTTCAATGTGCAAAATAAATTTACTTTACCTAATTCCAACTCAAATTAGTTCTCCAAATTATGTGATGCATCTGGCTTTTAATTTCTAAATGCAGTAAAACTTCTCCAAGTCTGTACACCTCTGGCAATATATGTCTTGCTAACGTGAACTTTGTAATATGAAGAGTGTCAAAGATGTAAAGCAACATCTCCACTCCAGTTGAGAATAGAACCCACAGCAACAAGGATTTATTGGCTGAGATACAGAGGCACTAAAACACAGCATGATTAAGTTAAGCAGAATAATTAACATACTTAGGGGTGAAGTTTGGTGTTGGGAAAGACCCTTGGGGTGTTCTTGCACGTGGTGAGTAGCCATGAGGTGTTGGGCTACTAGCTCCCCGACCTCTCATCCCCGTATTATGTACCATAACCTGTAAAAAAAAAAGAAAATCATAAAACACACAAACTACTACACTAAATAATATGCCTGTTGCCAAATTTGAACAAAGACCCTAAATTTAGTTTTCTGCAAATCATAATGTGATATACAAAAACATTTGAAATTTCATATCAGTGTGAATAGTCTAAACCTTTGCCATAAATACTTGAAAATGAAATTCATCATTCTGTTTAAGTGATATGTACATTTGTTTTAATTTTCATTAAAATATATAGATTAATGTAATACTTGTGCTTTGGACAAAATATATGTTAATTATTCTGCTTAACTAGGGAGCACACACACACACGTGCACGAACTGATCGCTATAAGAACAGCCCAGTCCCAACCATTGTAAAAATTATCAATAACTTGTAATAAACCAGTGTATTCACTCCCAGTAAATACTACTTTTTGCACTGTCACTATGTTGAAATGAACTGTAGTTTGAGCTTTTCCCCATCTAGTTATTATATATCTTATTTGTATCACTTATGTTACTTGTATATTATTTGTAATTCGAAACCCAGTCCCCAAATATGTAACTGTATATTTTCAGCCTTCTGGCTGCCAAGCTCTTTCAATAAACCGTTAATTATTATTATTATTATTTATTATTATTATTACTCTCTCTACAACCCTGACCTCCTGGGCAACACAAACATGCCCTACTGAGTTGCCTATACAACTATGAGAGATGGCATGTGTTATAGAATAAATTATGATCATCAGGTAGAGTGTAAAATTATAACGGAAACTTAATTATATTGAAAATGCTTAGCCCCAACACTGCCAGTGTTTTATAAGACGATCCCTTGTCAAGGACAAAAAAAATTGGAGCTTCAAAAGTCGACTTATAGGCCGCAATATGTGGTAATAATTGCGAGAGTTAACATCTCATCATCAAAGACATCTATCTTGTTACTGTTTTGGTTTGACTACAGTTACACCACTGAAGTTCCAGCAGCAATAGTACTAGCGTCGTGTGATCAGACTTCTTAAAAATTGCTGGTAAAACCAATGCCGCTAGTGCCAACCAAAAGAGTAACTTGCTGGTACAAGTGCCCAGGTGACAATGTGTTCCTAATAAGAGACGGCATACTTGGTATAGTACTGTATCCCTCTAGCAAAAATTAAAACAATTAATTCCAAAAACCATTAACAGGGAGCAGCAGCATCCGAAACTAACAGAGAACACTTCATGAAGCCCTAACAGGTGAATTTTAAACCTAAAGCGAATGAACTATGGAAATGGAAATAACAAAGTAATTCTTAAATTAGCCACCACGAAGCAACATCACCATGACATATTGCACTATTTCAAACCACTTTACTAAGTTATTCTAAGCCTACTGTTAAATACCTCTCCATACCCTACTATACAAACATGTACAGTAGACCCACAAATCGATTACGGTATATGATTTCAATGCAACCTGATACCCTAACTTATTCCTTTTTTTTTAATCTAATGCAGTGAAGATTGATTTTGCACGGAACAAGCCCAGACCTCCGCCAGAAAAAAATAAAAGGGGAAAAATATCTAGCAGTTTATTACAACAGTTCACAACTATTATTCCAAAGTTAGCTCAGAAAATTCTCTGTACTTGTGACTTCCATGAAGCAGTTGTTCAGACTAAAAGTGAGTTATAATTTGTTAATAAGTGTTTTGAAATAATGGAGATAATGCTGAAGGGAGAAAAGGTGGTGGTCTTAAGGCATATTCTGGTGTATCTTTTGGCGCTACATTCTCTCACTCTATATTTCCTATTGGAATACTGTACATGTGAGTTATTCAATACAATTTAAATTTGCACAAAAATTTTGGTCCTAGTCGGTATTAAAGGTCTACTGTGTACTGTACTAATCCTAAACCACTCCCTCTACAAAGTTTTAATACACCTGACCCAGAGACAAAACATTGTACCGTCAGTACACTAGTTGATAAACAGGACCAAAATTTTCTATGCAATGAAAATCTTAAACAAACACTAACACCTAACTTTATATTTTCCTCAACACAGTAGAAGTTGTCTTAAATGCAAAATTTTGTCTTAAAAATTCTATACTCAAAATGTGTTGTAATGTGTCCACCAGTTCCAGTATTTGCCAGCACTTCTATACATTTCATATAAAACTAAATCATCTCAACAGACAGCACCATTCGTCTTATTTTCTAATCCCTTAAAAATTTTATTTAACACAATATACCAACTGTTTTAATTTGCTTCTGACTTTTTGTCTAAACAACCAACTTGTAATCACAACAAGGTCAACACTTAATGAAAGCTAAATCAGAAGGTTGGGAGGCTGAATGAAACTTATAATCTGTGTAAAAATATAAAATGATTTACTATTGGCTCAAGACTTGAAAAACCTGGAGGTTCACTTTTCATTCTTACCCACAAAACCTACCTGTTAGTTTATATTAGTTTAAACTGCAGTCTATGATAACTTTCGTGTGTTAGTTGGAGCTCCTGACTGACTAATTCTGAAAACTTACATGGTATCTTATAGGAGTAGAAGTTGAGAAATATGGTACTGATACCTCACGCATATGCTTTCCGCCTTTCTTCTTGCTTCTTCCCGCAGCTGTAAAAAATAAAAATAATTGTGTACAGCAATGAACATTATTTCATTTACACAATATTCATGTATACAGTAATCCTGTGTTTTTCGCGGGTTTTTTTATCGCGGTTTTGACCATTCACATTTTTTTACTAAAAAATTATATACAGTCATGCACCGGTTAACGTCCTAGATACGTTCTTGGAAACGTGACGTTAACCGAAATGGACGTTGGAGAATTATAATGAATATAATGTGCTTATTTGATATGTATTCTTAACCCCATCACCACTGTCGTGCATATTGCAAGGTCAACCTCATCTGAGTGGTAAGTGGAAACATTATTGCCAAAATTTCAGCTTTCGTCACAAAAACTTCTAAATGGTCTATTTCTCTTCCTTAGTATGTATACAGTAATAATGTCAAAAAAAATTTCAAAAGATTTTGACAAAAAATCTAGCAAGGAAAATAATGTACAGTATACAGTGCTGTAAAAACATTTCAGCGACTGTGCCTAACCACCACTTTTTACTTTTTAATCTGTAACTCCATTACCTTTGACAATATTTTTTTCTGATTACACCATCACCTTCCTCATGATTTACTCTTTCTTGCCATATGAATTTTATACTGACTGATACAATGATGTGGGTACAGCCCGAAGAGGAATCAACAGTAAACTCTCACTTTTCACTTATTCTCGCCAAAATGGTTTTTATTTGTTATTATTATTATTATTATTTATTTATTTATTTATTTATTTATTTATTTATTTATTTATTTATTTAATATATATATATATATATATATATATATATATATATATATATATATATATATATATATATATATATATATATATATATATATATATATATATATATATATATATATATATATATATATATATATATATATTTTGGGGGGTCATGCAATGTCCCCAGCCATTTTATGTAGGAGGGCATCTTTTGAATAAATATTTGATAATATCTTGGACACAAATAGCGCTTGGGAAAAAATATTTTCTCTGCGATTTCTGGTCATTTTGCGGGCTCAAAAGTGGTTCTGTGACAGGCTCGTTAAATAAATTTTAGGCGATCCCGTTAATATAAATTGCCCTTTATATGTCAATTCTACAAATCAAATCGTGCAAACTTCACAGTCCACTGTGTACTGTACCAAATTGACCTACTCAGTTGAAGAGCATTAAAAACATTAACAACTGTCACAATAGGACCATGTCAGCTTTTCACAGCTCTAAATTCCCTTTTATTTTTTGCATATAACATACCATATATGCCACCATAATTGTGACCGAGAATACACCAAAAAAAGATCAACTCACGGTACTCGGGTTCGGCAGGAAGTGGTGCCTTCTGATAAAATCCAGTAAGCTTCTTGTAGCTAGGAATATTTCCTACCACACTGTTTCCTCCTGAACCAGAAGGCTGTATGTGTTGCTGCCCCTGAGCGTGCCATGGTGACCGAGGAGGAGAAGAAGGAACTTTTTCTAATGACTCATATGGCACCTTTAATCTAAAAAGAAAGAAAGAAATATAAACCGGTGTATGTACACAGCTCTGTTACATGTAATCTGCAATGTTGTTCCTTTTCTACAACAAATCCTAAAGATGTCCAGCTGGTTTACCTCTCTAGAGCCCTTCATACAATCCAGCATAACATAAGCTGCACATTCAACAACATAAACCACATTACCAAATTTTGCATTCAATCAAATACACCTTGCATGTTCATCCCCCTCCCATCCAGCATCAACTTTACGTAATCCATCAACTTCATCTCAATCTTCCCTCACAAATACTATAGTACAGTAATTATACAAAGAAAGAATACTGTACTACTAGTGACATCCCCGTTAGCTGGAATAATTGGTGCAGATTGGTTCTGGGATTGAGAGACATACGAGTATGGAGACAAATTTCTCATCTCCGGAAGTTTCCCGATTGTAAAACACGTCTTGCGTACGAATGCTTCCTGGCAGGCGAGTGGTGACACCAGCATCACTAACATAAACAAATGCACTTTAGCGTGCATTTTGTTTTCATGTATCTAAACAGGAACAGGAGAAAAACTTTCTCAGGTATCTTATGGCATTTTTTGCCCCTATTCGACATGAGCATACATATTTTTTACATTAATTTTACTACAGCAACAACCAGTCTTATTTTCTTCAGTTTCAGATAGATAACTGTCATCAAGGGTGTAAACACTGAAGACAACAATGGTGCCCCGTCTCCTTTTGTGTGACCATATTATTATTGATTTATACTGTATAAGGTGCATTCATAAACGTTATTTATTTTTATTTATTTACTTTTTGGTGGGGAATCAACCCACCCAGGCACAGGTCAATGACCCACATCAGGGCCTGGGGGGCAAAGATATATAACAATAATAATACTAATACTAATACTAATAATAATAATAATAATAATAATTAAAACTAATAAAATTAATAATAATACTAATAATAATAAAAAATGCAAAAAAAAATTAAATCGAGCCTGAAATCATAAATGTATGTTGTGTTGTTAAAGTAAGAGAAACAATTGAGACCCTGAAATTGTGTGTAAATGAGGCAGAAAGTCATATCAGCAATCTGGGACTTGGTCACAATTTTTGTGAAGCCAAAAAAGTTTGCAATTTCCATTAATTTAATTTTTTTGGGGGGAAAAGGGCATAAAAAGCCAAACAAAAGATATGAAAAGGTCACACTAGGGAACACATCTCATTAATATTGCTTAATTTTAATGTTAATTCATGATTCACCTTACACTGCAATATTGAAGGACACATTACCGTCGTTATTCGAGGCTTTATTGTATGACGATACAGGATGGACTGCTTTGTCCTGTACCATCTACTGTGGCAGCTGTTGCTAACTGTCACTCTCCTCTCCCTCCATGAAGGAGAGATTGTACACACACTGTATACTGTACTGTATATACACCCTCTACACACTTACCTACACTGACCACTCTGAAGTATGTACTGTACTGTACAGTCCCGGTCAAAAGTCTTGTGCCAGGCAGTTTTGGCTGACCCAGTTATGTGGCAATAGCAGCGACATGCACACATGAACAAACATGGTGTGTGCCAGAAAACCTGATTATGTGAAGTAACCATTATATGGTGTCTCTATGTGCATATCCCCAATGAACTACTACACAATTTATCGATAATAATGGTAAAGAGAATATTTTATACTGTATTCCTTTTAATATAACATTATCAGTGGCATTAGCCACTGTGTGTGTGTGAGTCATTTAGGGGGGGGGGGGTCCACATCATGTTTTCTGTTCTCTTTCAAATATCAATGGTAGTGATGTACAGTACATTACTGCACAACACAGATCATATGTGAAAACATTTTTGAGCAAGCGAACAAGTTTGTACAATGGGTGCAGACAATGAACTAAGAGTGCCATTATGCTAAAGTTTGAGGAGAAAGACTGCGTGATACATCAGCCAACCATAGGCATCCCATGCAGTCACATGGCAGTACAGGTAGGAGCCAATAATAGCTCATGAGCACTCTGAGCCAACCCACCCATGAGCCCGGCACACATCCCCGTGTCAGAAACATGATGCAATCTCTCAGAAATTTGTTTTACGCCCAGAATTTCTCAGAATGGTTATTGGAGAGAGAGAGAAAAAAAAAAAAAAGACAGTTCCACAGACCGAAAATTCTGGCTAACAGAGATATTACTATAACAGAGAGCAATTGTAACTAACCAGTATTACACGACAAGCAGTTTATAGTCTGCAATGATTGATCAAATACAAAAAATTAGGTATAGATCCTTACCTGCTGCCAATTTCTTCTACATAAACATCTACTGGCCCCTTATTTTCTGACATTTCTTGGATATGGCCATGATATACATCTACCCTTTCCTCTGTACATTTTCCATCATTATATTCACCACTACCTGTTAATGAAAAGAATAACAATGCAAAATACACACATAAAAAATTCTTCATTCTGCAAAATCACAAAACTTTATAATTCAAACAAAGTTATTATTACTTCTCCTTATCTTGTGTATCATTAATACCATGACCAAAACTGGGTTATACAACAATACAGTATTTATCATACAGTGTGCACAAAGATTTCTGAAAATATACAGTAACATGTTCTAGGTACACATATACTTCAGTAAACAAGTACACATAATCTTTTTTTTTCATTCAACAAGTACCTGCAACTCTATGTTAGATCCAATTTACCTTGTCTATACATATGAACTCTTCTCATTTCTTCTATTTCTCGTCTATTTGGTAATAACTGCAGTTTGATGAGCACCTTTACGCCAGCCTGGAAGCCATTGCTGTCAAAGGGGCCATACCGTGCCTCTGTTGATATAAAAAGTTTAGCAATATAATTTTCATCACTTTTCTGCAATCCTAACTCAAAACTGTAATTTTGTAATGGAAGCTGATGAAGAAGTACATCTCTGCAGTCAGTCATGTATGCTTTTCACTATTTCAGGCTTTGTCTCACTAAAATGTAGGGTGGACGCACACACAAATATATGGAAGCGCACGCACACACACACACTTTCTCTCTCTCTTCCTTTAGTCACTTTTAATTCATACAATCTAGCACCACTCATTAATAAGTCATTCTATAAATGTGCATGTGTGTGTGTGTGTTTTTTTTTGTTTTTTGTTTTTTACGAGGATTAGCCCACCCAGGCACAGGTCACTGACCCACATCAGGGCCTGGGGGGCAAAAATGTAATAATAACAACAATAAAAATAATAATAATAATGCAGTCAACCCTCGCTTTACGCGGTCCCGCTTTACGCGTTTCCACGTTTATGCGGTACCCTGCCGAACACGGAATGCTCACTTTCCGCGGTGTGTGTACCCTTTTACACGGAGAGCGGCGCGAGCAGGGTGCGCACAAGGTCGCCCAGTCATCAAAACATTACCTAGTTCTTCACTCGCCACCCACCACAGCCGGCCCAAGTCAGTGATAGTGATAATGATAGTGAGGATATGGACTTATATGGACTTTGAGGGGTTTGACAAAGAGGCCCTGCAAGCCTCTGTGGTGGATAGTGATACAATTGATACAAGTGATACAGGTGAGGGCCAATAATCTGCTCTCTGCCTCGGAACCAACCCCCCATCCCCGTGTGCCCAGCCATCTTTTCTACTAATGTAAGTGTTAAAAAACCTAATATTATTGATATTTCTCTTAATTATTAATTGTGTGTGCATACCATCATAAAATTAAGAAGTTATTTTTACTACAACGTAGGTATTGTGTCTGAAAAAGTGGAGTTTAGGGGTCGGCCCGGTCTCTATTTCAATTAATCCCATATGTTATGTTGTTCACTTTACGCGGGCCGCCGTGGGTTCAATTGACCGCGTAAAGTGAGGGTTCACTGTAATAATAATAATAATTAGCTTAAGAATTTTTGAGGGAGATTGTGTTGTATAAGTACAGGGAGCCCTCGTTATAAGTGGTTAATAGGGACCAGAAAAAAGCCACTGATAATGAAACCACTAGGGAATTAATTCCCCCAAAAAATTACTAGGAATAAGATCTAATTGGGACCATCACATTGTAAGTGAACCTCATAAAGTTTAATTTGGTATCTTTTAACAGTTACATTTACTGTATTGTCTTTAATGGGGATACTGTACAGTGGTCCAATCAGATTTGACATAGGCCTAACGAGGGCTAAAGGGTAAGAGATGACACTTGATGTGTAAACATGCTGGAGAGGGCTAGCTTTGCTTCATTTGCCATTTGTTTTTACTTATTCATTATTATATTCTCATATGATTAACCTCTTAGGGTGTATGTTTCACATAAATAATATAACATACAGCAGGAATGGGCAACCTGTGGCCTGAACCATGTCTTCGTGCGACCCACAAATTGATTGAGAACTTCTATTTAATGTGGCCTGTGGTTCAGGTAGATGCAGCCAGTTTATGGTGAGTAAAGCAATATGTATTAAATGAATAACCTTCACACACAATTCATTATTGTTTCATCACCTAAGAATAAGGAGCTATGAAAATGTAACTGTGAAATAAATATATATAGTCAACAATATAAACATTTTAACTTGTGTGAGTTTACGGGCCAAGTTCGACCCAGTCTGTTTGATGGATTAGCTGCTATGTGGCAGTGGGTCACTTGGGAATTAACTAAGGTGGTCACACGGGTCAAAGGTAAAGGTCTTTTCCTTGTTGACAGACTGTCTCTCTCCATAGTACCTTATCCTTTGTGCCTGGCTGTCTGTTCTATCTATTTATTCTTGTCTGATTAGGTCCAGGGTTCGATTCCCGACTAGTGGATATTGTTTGTACTGTATATGAAAGCCCACGTGCTATATGTACTGATGATATAAATATAAATATTGTAAAATAAATAGATGTGCCTATAGGTTGTTTCATTGTAGTTCCTCATGCACTAAGATTAACACTGACATTATTCTGGTGGGTGTATGTCGTAAGTAAGAAAAATGCTGTAACTGCAGAAGAAATCAACATACTCACCGACTGCTTCACTCGTCTTTTGTTAAATGCCAAGAAACATCAATATTTGATGTGAAAAATTATGATGGATTTGTTTCATAAATGGGAAAAGACACTGATTGCTAACTGAAAATATCGTAAGGTGGGTGTGATGATAAACTGTTTTACTATCCGTGATAATACATTACAATATTAACATTACTTCTGCAGGGGCGGATCCAGGAGGGTCTGGACCCCCTTTTCATCAGTAAATTCCAATACTTTTTCTTTTATGCAGCTGTACTTAGCAATTTTCTTATAATAAAAAGTTATTATTATTGATCTCAGAATATCTCTTAATATCAAGTGCACACGGCTTCAAAATGGCCTCAAAATGCCGCCCATAACCCCCAAGCTGGGTGGGCTCGCTATGTTCCCCAACCCACAAATTTTTGGACCCTCCCCTTTGAGATTCATTGATCCACCCCAGTTTTGGGTTAGGTTGCCCATGTTTGACATATAGTATTAATGATTGATTGATTGACTGTGTTGATTACATCCCTGGCGATGTAACAGCTAGAAAAAAAATATGATTTGTAATTTGAGTTGAAAATACTGTATTATGTAAAAGGAAAAACACACACTGTATTTATTGCACACAAAATAAAAAATTAAGGGTAATTGGGGAGGGGGGTTAATGAGTAGCTGCTTAGTACACAGAGGCCCCCAGAACCCCCCCCCAAAAAAAAAAAAATCCGGACAATTGGCAAGTCTGGACCCCCTTTTCCCCAAAACTGTCCAGACTTTTGAGGGTTTACGTTATATACAGTATGGCCATTTGTCTTATATGCTGTAAAATACTGTATATATTCCTCCCCAAGCAGTTATGACTCACCTCTCCTGACAGTATTCCAAGCATCAAACTCAATATTTCTGTAGATATCAGGATCAAGAGACTTGGCCACTTTGTAGGGGAATGGTGGTATTCCATGAGCCAACAAACCTCGTACATCATCAGGATGGACTTCTTCCATGCTGGGTCTTTCCTCTATACTTGTACTGCAACTGCAAAAATACATAATTAACCTCTTCACCACAAAGACGCCATTTCTTATACCACATTTTGCTGACACACAACGATTTTATTGAGCAGAGAGAACCACGTACACAAGGGTTAGTAGACTATCTCCCCTAACTCCTTCTCTACGGGGACGCCATTTTTTTATATTCTATGTCTAGATGACTTTATTCAGCAGAGAGAGGACCCTGTACACATGGGGTTAAGCCAACCTAAAATAACTAGAATCCTTAAGAAAATAATTAAAGCAGTTAGCTATGATTGGACTCAGATATATAACCAGATGAGTATGGGTACACAATAAACTATCCACTGTAAGTGGCAAAATTCAATTAATCATACTGTACCATACTAAATGACATGAGATAAACTACTGAACCCTTAAAAAGAATACAACACTGAACCCTTAAAAATAAAACACTGAACTCCTAAAGAATACAATAAAGAAAACTCAAAATAGAATACAAACATGTTGTACGGTTAATTAAGGACAACAAAATATATCAAGAAGCATTCACACTATTATCTCCCAATTTTGTTCACTTTCCATCAAGTTCACAATGCCAACACTTCCTTGCATTTCAGTATTTACTACACCCACTTATAATACAGTACTACAGTAAAACCTCGCTAAGGCGGACTAATTGGGGGGAGGGGTGTCCTGGATAAGAGGTTGTCCGGCTTAGGGCAAGTTTTTCCAAAATGACCTCCTTTAAAAAAAAAAAAATCGAGCACAACACCAATGTATCAAATTACAGGTACTCCTCGACTTACAACCACCTGGACATACGACCACCGCAGTCGTATAAAATATTTTTCAAATTACGTATTTTCGAGTCCCGAAGTTAGTGATTGTGCTGTGTAGTGACAAAATTTTCGTTTGTAATTCCCTTTAAAATAGCTGGCAAGCGTAAAAGTAAGAGTTCTCGTGGTGCTGAGAAGAAAAAGAGACACCCATTTTAGATTTTCTATGCATTATTTTTGCATTTTCGACTTACGACCTGGTCGTTGGTCCCTAACCCCATCGTAAGTCGAGGACTAACTGTATTATGAAATAATTACATGTTTTATCTTGGAAAATTTCGATAAATTTTTTCCTTTACCCAGAAAATTCCATAAAAAGAAGAGGTACTACCGCCTGGGAAGATATTGGAAGCATAATGTATTGTCTAATGGTAGACCCTGCTGCCATATGGCATCACGGAAATTGTGACCAAGTCCCAGGTTGCTGATCTGACTTTCTGCCTCATTTACACACAATTGCAGGGTCTCAATTATTTCTCTTACTTTGACAACACAACATACAGTACATACATCGTTTCTCACGATTGATCTTTTTTTATTTCTTTATGATTCTTTATTATTATTATTATTATTATTATTATTATTATTATTATTGTTATTAAAATTATTATTTTATTTTTTAATTTTGTATTTCTTATTATAAATTTTATTTACTATGAGCTAATTATTATTATTATTATCATTGCATTTTTGCCCCCAGGCCACATTGTGGGTCAGTGACCTGTGCCCGGATGGGCTAATCCCTGTAAAAAAAATACACAAAAATAAAAAAATTGGGTAGATAATTTTTTATTGTTGTACTTTTGCAGGAGGGGGAAAGTGCCTCAATAAATCGGAATTTGGGATAACTCAGCAAGGCCAGAGCCCTATGTGTGCCGAGTTATCGAGGGTTTACTGTATTACAAATATCACTATACAACTCCATCTACATACAGCCATAGGCATAACCTTTGCTCAGGTAGTTTTTTCAGCTTAGATCATCGATCTAAGCTGGATGATCCTCGTAAGTGATCGTAGTAGGACCCCATTTTGTTTTCATTTTTAGTCTGACGAGTAAATTCTATAAGGGTGTCTAGGCAGTCCCTAGCTTATGGCAGCTTTATTTTTGGTGGTTCATCTTCCTTTTCTTCATCATCATCAAAGTCATCTGCAGCCTCATGTACAGAGTCCACAATCTCCTCTTCTGTCAAGTTGTGGAATCCAGGATCATCCTCATCAGTCTCCAGCCAAGCCTCCACATCCTCAATTGCAGCACCCTTCTCTGCCACTTGGAGAAGGGTTCTGTGATAATCTTCTGATAGCCCTCAAAATCATGCTCATCAAAGAGGGTTGTTGCCTTGACTTCTTTGGCAGAAGCAGCAAAAGTAGAGAGCATGAACCTGAAGTGCCCTCTTGTGTCCTCCACCAGATCCTCACTTGTCTCTTCCACCATCAACACTTCATACAAAAATTTGCATTTGTACAGCCTTTTGGCAGCATAAATAACATCTTGATCCACTGACTGTATGACAGAGGTGGTGTTGGGTGGCAATGCCTGGCACCTGATTCTTCCATCCCTACTACACAGTTTTTCAATATGTGAGGGAGCATTATCTAAGAGGATGATAGCCTTCACTTCATCAGCAAGGATTTTCAGATCTTCCACCTGCTTATGCCCGATCTCCACCACAGCATGTTTGAAAAACCAATCTGAGGTTATGGCTCCTGTAAACCAAGCATTCTTGGAGTAATAGTAGTGGACAGGATGCCTGTGCATTATGTCCTTGATTGCACGAGAAGTTTCTTGCGCTTTCCTACAACCACAGGTGTGAGCATATGGCTCCCATCAGCATATGCAAACAACAATGTAGACACTTGTTCCTTGGAAAGTTTCCTACCAGACACACTTTTTCACTTCTAGAGGCCAGTGTATTTTCTGGTAAAGCTCTCCAATAGAGTCCAGTTTCACCTGTATTGTACAGTTGGCAGAATCGAAGGTTTTCTCGGCTTCCATTAAGTCCTTCAACTTTTTCCTAAATGGTTCCACACCATTAATATCAGCATTAAGCCCCTCACCACATATTTTTTTCACAATATTGTGGTGCCTTCGAAATCTAAATAACCAACCAGCACTAGCATGAAAATCCTTTACATTTATATGTTTTACTAACTTTTCAGCAGCTGTCTGGATTTAAGAACATAAGAATGGAGGAAACTGCAGCGGGCCTATTGGCCCATACTGGGCAGTCCCATTTACACCCAACCCTTATTGCTCATATATCCATCCAACCTATGTTTGAAGCTATCCAGCATATTTGAGTTAATGATGATATTTGGTAACTTGTTCCACTCGTCCACTACTCTATTTCCAAACCAATGTTTATCTATTTCGCACCTAAATCTAAATTTGTCTAATTTAAAACCATTGTTACAAGTTCGCTCCTGGTTGGATAGTTTGAGTAACTTTGTAATGTCCCCTTTGTTTAGCCCCGACTTCCATTTATTCACCTCTATCATATCGCCCCTCACTCTACGTCTCTACACCTCTGGCTGCTCTTCCACTTGCACGTTGCTGTATGTACCATTTATACACTGCTTCTTCCAAGTCTTCATTCCCAACCTTCCTCATTTTCTTAATGCCAGATTTTTCCTGGCCCACATCAAATTTCAAGGCATATTTGTTCAATTTATCTTTTGATTTTCGTATATCCGACACTGACTGCTTTGAAATTTCGTATTCAGCACATATTTGCGAAGAGCAGCACCTTTCTCCAGCTTTTCAATCGCCTTTAACTTTTCATTCACTGATAAGGTTTTAGGCTTAACTTTCTCACCACCTTTACAGACATCAAACATTTTCTTAGGGGCCATGGTTATTGTCTAATTTTTCAATAATAATGCAAAAATATGAAAGTTACATCAGCCAACAACATAATCACATTACTGGCAATGTCAAATATGTTTGAAAATTAAGTTCAGCATATCTAAATGGCAATAAAACACGATGAATGGAGCGAGAGAAAGTAAGAGATGCTATCATGGGCGACGTTAATTTATGACCGAGCGCACAACGCATGTCCCTTTGTTTACCAGTGTGGGTAGTGTGAGTGGATCACGAGGTCTGTCCACCTTGCTCCCTTGAAATTTTGTCTTTTGACGGACATGTCATCTTATGACAAATTATGTCCTATATTTTATTTATTATTTTAAATTTCTAATTATTTTGGGGAAAATAATTTTGTCCGGCTTAAGCGAGGTCTGCCTTAGCGAGGTTTTATTGTATTGTATAGGACACCATCAATACAATACTAGCACGTTTATTTTGATAGAAACTCAGATTAAAAGTGGGACCCTTAAATATAGAGTGGCAGTGAGGCCAAACTGAGCTTGATCGTCTTCCTATCTCCAACTATAAAGTCAGGTAGCCTGGGTGCAATCCAGCAACCCTAAAGCATGTGCTGTATCCACTGGGCTGCCAAACCCCTACAGTAGTTTAACTTAAGTATTGGGAGAAAAATACTCACTTCTTATCAGCCTCGTCTTGACTATTATCCCTGGATATACTTGTCGCCAAGACTTTCTCAACCAAAGCTCCAATTTCTTTTTGGTCAGTTGAGTTAGTCGAGTCTCTCCTAAGCGATGCGTACTCCTTATCATGAAGCATTGTGTCCACGGCCAAGCGAACATCTTTCAGTTGAAACACATGTGTATATAGATTGTCATACACCACAGCTGTAAGGGGGAAAGAGTATTATCTCAACTATGTTCAGCTCCATCATAAGTCTTTATGAGAAAAATTCTCAAAATTAGTCACCAGTGGACCTTTTCTAGGAAATACTTTCAACATCTACACATACAGTACATCAGAAATTCTTACAAACATCCTCACTGGAGTAAGCCATGCAGAAACTCTTTAACGTCAAGAATGAAAGACACACCTCCCTCCTTATTGCACATAAGCATCCAATAGTGTGTTGGCTATCATTGGTCAAATTGCCTTACTGTTTACTTCTGTTTGTATACCTGCACGGTCCACATACACAATACAGTAATAACCCCCCTATTTTGAAATAATAATGCCTCAAGCCCTTACGAATTATGAGATTTTACAAAAAATGAGGGAAATATCCCGAGGGGAAAAAAAACACAAGTGGAAAAAGTTTGTGCGGTAGAATGTAGATGTGCACTCCCAACACTGACCAACATGAGTGATGCATATAGTACAGTACTGTACTTGTTTACACTGAGGCAGGCAGTCGCATCCCCATTCATCTAATGATAGGGGAGGAGCGGCAGAGGTGTTTTGAATTTGATGGGCAGTGGTGTGGTGTGAATTCTTGCCACGAGAGGGCTCTGCACGCTTTGGCTTACACTTTCCCACCTCTGCAAGTGTTCACACCAACCTTCTACCTCATTGTCTCCGACTTCATGTTTTTTCATTGTTTCTGACTTCGTGTGTTATGCAATCATGCCTAAACACCTCAGTGATAGTGCCTCTAGTGCTGCTCCTAAGTGGGTGCATAAGGGTGTGAGCCTTACCATCAAGCTTGATGTGATAAGGTGTAATAAGAGTAGTGATGGACTGACAAAGTTTGGTAGAGACTTGAACTTGCCACCCTCAACAGTCTCTACCATCCTTAAGAACAAAGTAAAGTACAAGGCAACTGCTGGTGATTGTGCGAGGACTGTAACCAGGAAGCTTGACCCCAGGCTGGAGAAAATGGAACTTTTGTTAATCGTCCGGATCGACGACAACTAGCATAAGAACTGTCACTTAAGCAAGAACCTGATCCACGAGAAGGCCTGGTTTCTGTGGCTTTCTGTGAAAGGGGAAGCCACCTCCTCCTTCAGTACTCCTGACTTCAGTGCCAGCCGTGAATGGTTTGACAGGTTCAGGAAGCATGTAAACCTGTATAACATACGATTAGCTGGGGAAGCTGCAAGTCCAGTAGAGTCTGCTGAGCATAATAAGAGATCTATGGTTGCAGTAGTGTCGGTCTGGACAGGATGGTGGGTGATATCATCAGTATTTAATATACCCAGGTCCATTTCTTCAATGAAGCTATCAGGCCACCCTTGAATTAACTACTGCATCACCCCAGAGGGTATGCCTTCCATTAAAATCACTGAAGGTAAGGTAAGGAGAAGGAATTTTAAATGTAGATTGAAAGTGAATCTAGCAAGTATCCGAGACAAGGATGGGTGTGGCCCCATGATGCGTCTGTTCTGGATTTTGAGGAGAAAAAAAAAGCAGAATATCCTCTGGGAGGGGAATGATCTTAGGAATCTAACACTGTCTCCTAGAGACAAATGCATATTGGGGAGAATTTGCTCAGGAGCAACTGGAGCTCTTCCCAGTTGGCTCGTAAGCCTCAACAATTCCATTGGATGATGGTAGCCATGATTATTTGGGTTCTAAGTACACGAGAGTGCGGTCCCCAACAGGGGTTTAGGCTTAGGCTTAGTTTGGGTGTTGGAGCCTGGAGGATGCACCGAGAGTGTATCAAGACATAAGCCTCCTCCAGTCCACCTGTTCAGGGGGGACGTGTAAGGTTGGGCCTTTCTAACCTACCCCAGGGTTGAATGATGTGTCTGGCTTTGTGGCCACAAATGACCCAGATATAGACCCATCCAATGGACCCACACCAGTTAACCCCTGGAGATGACTCCCCGAGATGGAGGAGCCATAGAGGTAACCACTGTGCCATGGGTGCCCCAGCTGCCAGTTCTATTTTACCTTGGGTCTCGTCACCGAAAGAGGATCAGCCAGCATCTCAATCTTGTATGATGTTCTCTCGGTAACAAATTATTATTACACCATAATCCCTTTCATCAATCCATTCTTAAAACTTACATCTCGAGACACCTACATAGGAACTGTTATGAAGATCCTCCTAACCATTAATTCCACTGTCTAAATTCAGAAACCATAAAACATCATAACACTTCCTTCCAAATTCTAAGTCTTAAAAATTTCTGCTCTACCATTTTTTGCATCCTTGCACTTCATATCTCCACCTCAAGCAACCAATTTCAACCATATACATGCTCACACCCAAAGTTTTGTGCTGGATGCAAGTTTTCATAAGCATATCTGAGAATCTAGAAAATTCTTATGGCAAAATAGATAAAAGAATGATGCAGAAAGTAATGATAATGTACAGCAGAGGTAAAATGGAAAGCTCTTGAATTCTGTCCAGTTTGTGCCAGAAGAATGAAGAAGAAAAATGGGAAATTGTTGAACACATTTTCCCATAAAAAATATGTGGTACATTATTTCCCACTTCATACATTCTACAAACATCAATAAACTCACATTGACAAAACCCACGAATGTTGGCTTTTTCTTTTTTATAGACAATGTCGTAGTGGTTTCCATGGGTAAAACTCAACATGAGAGACCCAGGAAAATTATTCTCAGTGGCCCTGTATGGTGCTCGCCCGATTTCTTGGTATATGAGAAAATCCACTCTGCAAATACAGGGACTAATCACAAGAAGTTTCAAGATGACTGTAAATAAAACATTCAATAACAAGTTCTTTTGATGTCTTCAGAGATGAAAAATACAATGAAATGGTTAGAATGGAGAAATAATATATCAATTCCAAAAGATATTAAGGGTTTGTAGTTCCGCCCCAATTGTTGAGTTACCCAGTTCATTAACTGGCCAGTCATTTTGGCCTGTTTGTAAAAGAGGCTGCTAACCTAACCTAAAGCAATTCAACCCACCTAATCTAAACCAATCCACTAACCCAAACCAGCCTAACCCAGAGCCATTTAACTCTTGGGGTTTTCATGGGCAAGATTGTGTGATATAAATTATTGCTTTATGGTCTTCATACAAAGCAAAATATTAAAATAAATTCATTTTGTTTACGTATGAATGCTAGGTATGCAAGATGCACATTTGACAACATCGGTTACAATCTGGGAACCATGTAGAATGCGGCTGAATGCCCTTGAAGGTTAGGCTACCACGCCAGTCTCTCTTTGTGTTTCAACAATGCAGGACATAATCTTGACCCACATTTCCCACGCATTTTCTCATGGCTTGTGCTGATTTCTTGTTCATTACAGTGATTTCATTTATTCATAACAGTGTTGTGAGAGTTTGGGACCATGCTTTATGTTGCTGGAGATGGTGGAGGGGTGGGAAACCATAAAAAGTGCAAGAAGATTTCACCACATGGTGATAGTGTGGTGCCTCCTTATGCCTTCTACTCGTGCATACGTATAGAAATAATTATTTTATCACGATTACTCACATAACACTGTTTATAGATAATTTACAGTAAGTTCTCGTTTAACATTGCCCCCGACAAAGTTGTTTCGTTATAACGTCGCTACTTTTTAGATACCCATGATTCGGACAATGTCCCGCCAATTTGGTATAACGTCGTCACAGACTACTTTGTACGGTGCATCACCCTTTCTCACCCAGTAAGAGTGGGAGGAGGAGCAACCCTCCTGGTTTCAGTGACTCCCCACCCTCCTCCTCTCCACTACCCAACAAACACTCACTCCACCTCCGCCCATCAGTGAGTACGTACAATACAAAATGATTTAGTTTATTTATCTTTTTGGATGTATAATATATACTATTATCTATAAAAATTCTATTGAACTTATGTATATGTAATGTATTTTATGAGGCAAAGGGAGGCTGGAGAACATAACTCCCGTATTTTATATATTCTTATGGGGAAAATTGATTCTGTTAACGTCGTGGTTTTCAGGAACGGGACCACGACGTTAAGCGAGGACTTACTGTATTTACAATGCTAATGCAACAAATCCCACCTTTTTACTTCAAATAGAAAGCTTACTGTGGCTCATTACATAAAATTATCTCTCGTGTGGAGCAGTCAAGTGCAGTAAGGTGAGTAACATGCCAGACCCCAAGCGTCTCGCGGGTGATGCTTACCTTAACCTAACCTAACATGAACTAACTCAACCAAACAATCTAATTCAACCTAACCTAGGTTAGTTAGATTAGCTTAAGATAGGTTAAGTTTCATTAGTTTAGGTTAGGTTGGTTTAGCTTAGGCAAATTAGATTAGGTTGGTTTAGGAGCCCTCACAAACTGGATAAAATGACTGCTCAGTTCACGAATTGGGCAGTTTCACAAGTGGGGCATAACATATGAAGAAAAATCTGCGACCTTTTTTTCAACACAGTATTAATTCAGTTCCTTTCCATACCAGTTACTGTGCCTTTGAAGCACCAGCATACTATACTATACTATATTATGAAGAAATGCTTCATATGCCACCTCACCTTCCTCACTTACCAGTCATTGCTCGAGCCACACTCGGACTCTGCATGTGGTATTACTATACTCATGATTTTACCTGGACCTCCCTTCTAAATTCTTATTATGTATTTTTAAAGCCATAGCTACAAGGAGAGGGGGTGGGGCACACTATTCACCTTTAGTTTCATGGCAGTATGATAATACACAACTAATCAGTCTCAGCACAAATACAACAACAAATGTGAACTGGCAGGAATAGATGTGTCTAAAGACAAAACAAACTGTATCAAAAAGCATATCCAATAAAAATTAGATAGTATCTTTAATTATATCCTGAATTTTGAATCTTTAATGGTCTGAAGCTATGACAAAAATAATGACTGTACAGTACATTTAAAACTTGATTTTATGGGTTATCTTCATGACATTAGATGGAAGACAAAAAAGACCTTGTTCTGGTGACAAGAAGAGATAGAACTGTCTCAGATGTTTAGAAAAAAGAAATAAAGTGAGAGAAAAAATCGCCAACATTTTACAGCCATTTTCCACACCAACGTGGGTTAGCCATGATTACCTGATGGCAGCTTTCCATGCTGCCTGGTGCCTTACAGCTCCGCATCAGATTCTACCTCAGAGGTTATTTCTTACAAACTCTCCCCATGTCATTCTTGGCCTACTTCTGGCTCTCCTTCCCTCCTCCACATACCTAAATCATCCCATCTTACTCAAAACCTTGCCATGCTCTCATCCTGAAGATACCATATCCCTATATTACAGCAACAGCAATCTTACATAAAATCTCTACACCTTTGGAAAAACTCCTCAGGGTGCAAAGCAGTTTGAATGTTTCATTTGTACATTTATATTCTTCCAAAAGGTCAGTCAGTTCCTCTGCTCACCTTATGCCTGTGTAGAAATCTGTACCATCTCTAGCAACAAAAAATCAAGAAACATTAAATGGAAGAGTATATAACTTACTTAAATAGCCGTGACATAGCTATAATCTCGGTGTGTCCTCCCCATTCTCTAACATCTCGTAGCTTGAAAACATGGTGGTCAATAGGAATCTCCAGAAACTGTGAAAATCAATGGAGTGAAAATTAGTTGTCACTACACTTTCTCCAAGAAATATCATCACAGAGAACATACAGCTAATACATTAACAGCATAAAGAAGTGTCTTTACCAGGTAATTGTTCACAATACTGCAGTACAGTACAGGGGTACCTCCAAATTCAATCACAAATATTTCACCTTTCCAACATCATAAGAAATATTTCTTGCTCTCAAATCACTGGATCATATCAACGCCCAAAGATGAAACTTAACAATCATGAGTTAGAACACCAGCTCGGACAATACACTGTACATCACTATACAATAAATAGGACTACTGTCAATATTGTATCCAATACATTAATACCTAAGGTGCCTTAGCAACAAATCCTAGGAACCAAGGTACCTTTAATTCTGGAGAATTTACACGAATTTTGCTTGAAAACTGAAATATTTTTCATTTTGAAATTACCCTGAAACTTCACAATTTTCTTACTTAACTATAATCACACACAAACTATCAGAGGAATGCCTGATCTACCAACTATGAATACCTACTGGTCTCCTGAATCCCTATAAGCAATGGTGAGCACCTGAAAGTCCTTTTAAGTTATACCAATACACTGTACCTCATTTCATACAGGTCACTAAAAAATATAGAAAGAAATATTCATTATGCATCATTTGCTTCACATAGTGTATACGGCTTCTGCATCATCCACTCTTTTATACTAAATCTGTGTACCTGAATGAAACATAAATAGTTAATATCATCAAATATAATGTAAAAATAACCATAATAAGTAATAAAAGCATCCTACAAGTGATAAGTTGCTTCCTCACTAAATATACACCAATCACCTACTGACAGTACTGCACATTAATGTCATTGTTTTATTTAAGTCACCATAGAATTTGCAGAAAAATTAACTCAATGTGCAAGTATACCTTATGAGTTAAAATACCATATACTGCATAGTACTATAAAAATATAAAAGAAAAATTAAGAGTAGGGGTATATTCTGTGTGGGAGATGGAGTGTATCTGAGAGCAGCAGGTGGTTTGGCAACACACCATGACTCACCGAACTACTGTACAGTAGTCCCTCGCCAACAGCGAGGGTTCGGTTCCTGAAAACCCTATGGTTGGCAAATCTACTGTTGGCAAAACTAAATGCTTATGGGAAATAGGGGGTTAGGTTCCATGGCCATGGATAAAACTCGTCAAAGCCTAACTAAGTTGCCTGCTCCTTCACTATACAATACCTGTACAATATTGTAATTTATTTAAATTTGAGTCAAGTACATATAAAAATAGCTTAATGTAAATTAAATAGTAATATAAATTTTTCAATATGTATCCATGGAGATGGCATGTTGTTTTAAACTAAGAAAAATGAAGAGCAGGGGTGTGAAGTTAACATGGGTGTGTGTGGGTTAGACTGTCCCTGCAACTACATCCCCCTACAAGGCAATGTGTTATTATTTTTTAACTTGTATTTATGGATAGATATACATAATTTGATATTTTTATTTTTTTACTTTTTTTTTACTGTATTTTATTTTTTTTTGCTAAATGCTTTCAGGATAGTTATGTCATCTTGTAAATTGCTGTCTTGCTTGTTTGAGAACACCTGTCCATTTGTTTCAATCTGAGGAGTTGAATGGTAAAATTTGAGTGTCATAACGATTGAATGAGTTTGAGAGTATTCAAACTTGGAACCAATGTTGCTACCCCATTTATTGCGATGACAAATAGGGTCACACTCATGACATTGCCCTGAAGAACCCCATCCTCCTGAATATGTGTTGCTGACATTTCTCTGGTTACGTGGACCCTAAATGTGGACGTCCCTAGAACTGACTCATTATTGATGGTCAATTTTCCCGCATTCCAAAATTGTGAAGCTCTTTAAGTATGCCAAATCTCCAAGCTGTGCCGTATGCTTCTCCAGGTCAAAGAAAACACAGACAAGATGCTGGTGATGAACAAAAGCCTCCCAACCAAGGACTCAAGACGAACAAGAGCACCTGCTGTTGAATGCATCTTCCGGAAGCCAGATTGATATGGTGGAAGAAGGGCATTCTTCTCCAGGGACTATAAGTGTGCAACTGATAGAAATAAATTTCTTTTGGGTGGATATTGATGTATTATTGGACCAATTTAAAATGTGGATATATTTGTGGATGGGACAGATATAACGGTCATAAAGAAGATGATGAAATACAGGAAAGAGTGTTCACTGGGTCAGGGCTTGTGGAGACACACAATCAGACTCTGACTGACAGAAATATAGATAAAAATGTAAAGCTGTATGAGAGAAACACCAAAAAAATAAATACAACACTAAATTATGAATAACAGACCTCAAACTTTTCTTGCTATTTTTGAAACACTTACTGGTTGGAAGTCCTCTTCATATAACATCATGTACGCCAGGCAGAGGGATCGCACATGTACATGCTCAGTTTGAGACATAAAAACCTAGAAAGAGAGAAAGAGTTAAAAACAGATCATTCATACTGATGTTAATACATCTGTATTGTTATGATTTTCCTTCAGAGGTGATATTTGCCTTTTTAGTCATAATACCTAAGACAGCATTTATATTTCAATTTTTAATACAGGTATATGTATGCCTAAACCAAACCGAAACTGCTGTACATTGTGTTCATTTCCAAACACATCGGACCCAAGTGTGCAGTCTTTTTTTTGTGTGCAGTACTCTACTTATATAAACTGAATTAAATTGTTACTACTGTTCACAGACAATGCGAAACATATGCCTTCAGCCCATGCAAAAAGGTCAGATTACAGGGTATACTGTACGTTTGCAAAGAAAGCAGATGAAAAATTATAGTACAGTACTGTACTGTGTAGTATAAGAAATATATGGTAACCTCCTCAATAAAACATTTTAAATTAATCATCATCATACCACTAATGGTACAGTTATATAAAATAAAGCCACATATACAACTTACATGTTCAGCAACAGCACGAAAAAGACACGATCCATCACGGGCGACTTGCTTGCGGTACAAACCCTGTGATTCGAGCCATTCATCAAATGGGTCAAATGCACGACTGTTCAAACGACGACGCATTCTAGAACACAAAATAAAAAATAAATATATGACTCCATTTTAACACTACAAAGTCTACATGTTGTAAGTACAGTGATCCCTCGGTTAACGAATGCCTCGGTTAACGAAATTTCGGTTAAAGAATTACCTTCCATAAGATTCTTCACTTTGGTTAACGAAAAAATTTCGGTTTACGAATTCCTTACGAATTTTTCCCAACATGTTTTCGCCTGCTCACCAGCTGTAGTATTAGTCCGCCAATACAGTAATCGATTTTAGGGCTTAAATTCGTTACCATTTGAGTAAATATCAAGAAGGTTGTACTATTCAATAATTTTCCAAGTCTTATATTAAATTTTTTGTCATTTTAACAATTATTTAACATAATTGAAGTACAGGGAACTAGTTTTTAGCGCGCCAAACAGCCACTCAACACACCCAAAATGGCGTCAGTGTGTGTCCCTGCTCAGTGGAGGAAGCTTCTTGCTTGAGACTCTCTTGAACATAAACTATTTTTACGTTTTTACAGTACAATTATTGGTCAGTCTGAAGTTTATTTTACATATTGACAATATATAATGCAGTGCAGTGTTGATTTAAAGAAAATAATCTTGAATTACACCTAGTGAACTAAAATTTTATAGGTGAAATGGCGGCATGAGGTGACTTCTCTTCCACCCCAATACCTTCTCTTCTCCTCCACCCCCACTTCTAATTCCCATCATCATCAACCAGGAGCCTTCTACATACACACCTCAAAGTAAGTGTACTTTACTGCATTTATTTTTAGTTTGTATGTAATTTTTGGTGAGCTGGAACCAATTACCCAAAATCCCATTGAAACAATGGTTCCGGTTAACGAAATTTTCGGTTAACGAACGACCTTCTGGAACGAATTGTGTTCGTTAACCAAGGGACCACTGTATTATGAGATATTAAATACCATTAATCTACACATGCAAACCAGATTTCTAAATTAACACCAGATATGATGAAACAATGCTGCAGAAAATTAACCAAAAAATGCTCATTACTGTATTTACCTAATATTGTACTGTACACTATGTTAAAATATTTTGAATAAAACAATAAACTTCCATACATGAAGCAGTGCACAAAAAATACCTGTACACTTATCCCCCTGTATTCACTAGGGTTACATTCCTGGAAATCATCGCAAATCGTGTACAGTATATTCACTTGTGGAAAAATAGGGTATGGTCCATTGCTACCAGATTATTATGTCATAATATTTTGAGGGTAGAAATTATAAATGTTTTACAGATGGTGTTGGTATTTATATGGAGAAAGTTTTTGTAATAAAAATTAATAAATTTGAACAAATAAAACATGCCTTTACAATTCGTGGTCTTTGATTATTTGCAGATGACACCCTGGATGTACCCAAGAATGTCTGCGGGTAGTTTTGAAGTTGGCAGCATTTTCACGGCTGGGATGGGGGAGGTGTGCGAATTGTATAGCGTCCCACAAGCAGAGCATGCAGTTCGGAATGGTACAAATGATTTATCGTAATTCGTACCAAAGGAAAAAGACCGTACCGTAATTTTGTACCATACCTCAGATATACCTTCATACCATACTAGTACGATAAATTATCGTACCGTAATTTCGTACCTCAAAACAAAATGTAGCCTAATTTAAGGTATAACAAAACAAGAATAATTATATTATTAACATTAGCTTTTTATTCTTAATATAATAATATTTAATATTCAAATATATCGATAATAAATAACACATTTACTTAATTTTCTGTCCCTAGCCCTCAAAGACACGTACGAGTGAGTGAGTGAGTGAGTGAGTGAGTGAGTGAGTGAGTGAGTGAGTGAGTGAGTGAGTGTGTGTGTGTGTGTGTGTGTGTGTGTGTGTGTGTGTGTGTGGATACAACACATTGTACTGCTCTCCCCCCTAGGTGTAAATTTAGGCACCCATTTACAGCTGGATGAGCTGGGAGCACATGAGAATCTAACCACCAAACCCCAGAACATTAGGCGAGTGCTGAATTCACTCAGCCGCCACATTCGTATTGTCTCAGGTAACCCCATCTTAATGAATTCATTATAAACTTTATGTACTAAGCTCCTTATGCAGAACTGTTATAAGCTTGGGAAAAACTCCATCAAGCTTACCAAACCCGACTGTGGGAGCTAGATTCTCCTCGCCGAGTGTAGGACAAAATATTCATAGGACAAAACAAATCCCCTCAGACTATAAACCTCTTAGGACAAAAATCCCTCAAGGACAAAAAATTAACCTAAATTTAAGAAATTTTATTATAAAAAATGGGGGGGGGGGGTTGGGGGTTGTCCTACTATGCACTTTAACTGAGGGGGTTTTGTCCAGGGGGCTTATGCCCCATGGATACCAATGATTATGGTGTAATTTTTTTTAATGATCTTTATTGCGATGTTGTTTTAGCACCATGGCTCCTCATACGGACAAATCTTGTCACACTGTCTCTTGCAAAGGCTGAGAAATTGAGCCGTCACATTCTCTCTCCTCAAGGTTAGGTTAAGTTTTTGAATCATTAAATTCCCAAGAATCATGAGAAAAACATGATATTATTTTTCTGAAAGTTTAATCTCGGCACCTGTTTTAATGTACGGAATGCACATCTAGTGGGTAGGATGGGAACAACAAGAGTTAACTTTTGAAAACAAGGTTTTTAAATTTCCACAAAATAGTCAAATTATTTCTTATGTCCATTAACTGTACATTCCATCTATCCATACATGCTGACCTATTAACAAACTTCATACAACAGTCTTGGATCAATATTCTACACTTTTCATTTGATTACAAACTAATTGGTATTTTTCCGTAATAACACCCAACTCACAGAACTCATGCACAGCAATACTAATGGCCCTGCCACTTACCTTGTGAAATTCTAAGCAACTTTTCTTATAAAAACATGTTGGAAATTACTCGTCAAAATATTGAATTTTTTAAATAATTATTTTGGTCGGTCACAAAGCTCCCACAACTTCCTACCCCTGCAGCTGTCGGGAACAAATGGCCAGAATGCATGTGTTAGCAGGTGCATTGTGGGAGAGCTGCAGCCAATGAATTAAGATTATTAAAAATCAACCAATCATCATCTTCTTTGAGGCAACAGCCCAGCAGATTTGATTTTAAAAAGTCAGTCCTTAGCCAGCCATGTCTCTGTGTGCACGCTGCGACTTGAACTATTCTGCTGCCATTTCAGAGTTCTACGAGAATAATGACAGGGCTTTAGACTTTCTTCGTGAGCACTGTGTTTTGCCCAGGTCTCCTCCTAAGTATCCAAAGCATAATAAAGACCTTATTTATCAAAATATTGATTTTTTACAACCCAGGCCTTTATCAGAGTAAATGGTAGGCAAAAAATTGGTTAATTCTCGATTATGTTTGGGTAGGTTAGGTTGGGGGGGGATCATAACTCAGAAACGGATGATTTCCGACAGAAATGGATGTTAGAATCAAATGAATCACACTAAAAACCTTAGGAAAAAGAAAATTTTAAGCTTCAAAGGGAGTTGAGTGTTATTCAGGAAATTGACCACCCTATAATTAAATGAAAAGGTCAACATGACCTTCTGTTTCTACCTTAGCACTGTAAACGCTTCTGTGCTTCACCTTGCACAGGATGAAAGGGGGTGCCCAATAAACTAACCCCCTCTGGGGCAATCTAAAAAAAATATCTTTAAATAGTGAAGAAAAAATATTACTAAAAAGGTCCCTTTAAATTAGTAACTACTCAGGTGTATTGTGAGGCTGGTGATAACATTGTTGTTAAATTTAAGAGCAGTGACATTAATTTATGAATGAAGTACAGTACATAATAACTAAGCACAAATACTTGTACTAGGTAAGATCTTACATTCAATATTCCTCAGCAACTTACAGCAGGGATAATAAATTGAATAATTCCAAAATTTAAAAATATACATTAACCAAGACAGTAAGAACATAGTGTAACATGTTAGTGGCAGGGACAGGTGGAGAGGTCCCCTGGCCAGCAGCTGCACGCCAGGTGGGTCTGGGAACTGTAAACTTGCCTCTCTTCACATTCAAATTTACACCTATTACAATAATTACACAACCTTCTGACCTGCTCTGTGTCATGTGAACACATATAACATCATCATTAAATTATAATAAACCAACGTATCAATGTACTTAATACTTTAAATGTGATGTAAAGATATCATAACAAAACTTGTACCATGACAACGTACTCTCATACCGCCCAGCTTGGTGTTGGTCCGCTCGTCACACTTGTTCTTCTTCATTTATCTTAAGTTTACGCAGACGACGCTCTCAGTTTTACAAGAAGATGCTTGCTTCATACTATACCAAAGAAGCTGCCGGGACATGAAATTCGGGAATACCTTAATATTCTGAAAATTGACGTAAAACATGTACTTACCTCCCTCATGTGGCGCTTCTTATTTCGTGACGTCACGACACCTGATGGGGCTAAACTCTTTACATTGCTCTTTAATTAATGTATGTTATCTAATACTGAGAACACATTCTCCATCTCGATGAAAATTACTATCATATATGCAAGATTAAACATAATGTGCCAAGAGAATCAGAATACCATCAAGTGTCTGAATAATAGGCTTTTAGTGCTCCGGAAATACAAGTCAAAACAAACCACTCAACACCACCAGCTCTTATTAAACCTCTCTAATAAACCTTAACAATGACATATTAACCTCGGTGAATAAGATATTTTTTCAACTGCCACAAGCCTCCACAGCGGTTACCAAAACGAGTAATATACTTGCCTAAGTTTAATGCGTGCCGTAAAATAAAGGTTAAGCTGTATCTTTACACATTTGGTAATACTGATTCATGTCTTATCACTTATCAACAACTGCCATTACTTACCACAATTATATGTATTTTTATTTATAATTATTAATGTCTATTGCCATGGCTAATAATAATACACGATATCATAATAATTCTTTAATAAATATATTTGTCAATTTTCATGGTGTTCAAAACTAGTAGAAAATATTAAACAAAGTTAGGTTTAATCCTAGATATATATTATTATTTTACTCCTGTAGGTGACGCCCTATACATACATCCCAAGTAATAGGGGTGAACAAAGTCCGTGGAAAGACAACAGGTGGATGGAAGTGAGTAGTCGCAGTAGAATGACATATCAAAAGCTATACACTCCACCATACAAATGTTTGCAGACGATGCTAAGTTATTTGGTTAAATTAAGAACCAAAAAGACTGTGAAGAGCTTCAAAAAGATCTCAATGAGCTTCAAGAATGGTCGAGGAAATGGCTGCTAAAATTCATTGTCACGAAGTGCAAAAGGATGCACCTGTGTCGCACCAATAGTAAGGAGGCGTATCACATGTCCCAACAGGACGAAGAGACTGCATTCATTGAGATCGAATGTGAAAAGGACCTGGGTGTGCATGTCGACAATGAACTCAAGTTCTCGGGTCATTGTGAGAAGGTGAATCAGGTAACGAAACTAGTAGGTCTTATAAGAAGGCCGTTTAGATATCTGGATGAGTGGATGGTCCGTCATTCGTAACGATCTTCAAGAGTGAGGTGCTTCCCCGTCTGGAGTATGGTCATTTGTCACCCCGTCTGGTCCCCGAGGTATCTGCCAACAGTGCGTATCACAAACGTGACCGACCGCCCAAGCGGCTAACGAGCCGATTAGTGGCGAAGAGTATAAAAGTAAAAGTAAAGGTAAAAATATGAATTTTGTCCAACTCTGTAGTCTCTGGGAGTAAGCTTGGGCGAGCCACTAAAGCGTTGTGATTGTGTGGCGATTGTAAATGTTTGTTTTGTGGTTTTTTGTGTGTTTCTTGTCATGTCTTTACTACTCCTATCTTATAGTATGATAGAATACCCGAGTAATGCTAATGAATTTAAGTGAATAACACATTTGAGCCTGTGGGGTCTGTTACCACTCAGTTTCCTGGTAAGGTGTCTCGTTCAGAAAAACTCGTTTATCACAAGGTATCGCTCCTGCTGGCGAGTATACCTGTGAGGAAGAACCTGGTCCACAACTGTCCTTTCCCTCCACTAATCACTTATCATTGAGTTGGAACACCTGGCATACTTCCCACCTGGCTACATAGGTCCAGGGGTATGCGAGATACCCAGTGAATGGTAGTATACAGTAGTGAAGAGTGACAACCTGATAACAGTAGCCCAGCTCACTGTTACCCTGTGACATCTGATGCATTTATTATGGAGGTAAAACCCGATATATCTTGTTTATAATTCCACCCTTTAAACTTGGATAAAAATTTCGAGCTCAGGATTCATTAAACAATGACTGTCAGCCTTATGGTGATGAGGAAATATGGTATAAAATTCGTCTACAATTATCAACTATACCGGCGTAATCGATCAAATTTTAATATATTTACATGACCCATGGACCGGACGGAATACCCCCTAGTGTTCTGAGGGAATGTGCTGAAATTCTGGCCCCTGTGCTTGCTCGCCTCTTGCCTTTGCCTCAAAATTCAAATTATCCTTCTTGGAAGCATGCCTCGGTTTTAAACCACGCTACAACTAATTCTATCCATTCTAATCTTCACTCCACATTTTTTTCCTTTCCCCCAATTCTCAAACTAGATCTGTTTCTAGAGGGGCACTACTCAGTCGAGTGTCCTTACTTGGAGCTGGCGGACGCTCGCCCCACAAGGGGTCACAGCTCAATATCAAAGAAGCCGCAAGTCCAGAAAACTGTGAGGGCAAACTTTTTCGGAGTGAGGGTTGTAAACTCTTGGAACAATCTACCAGAGAGTGTTGTAACGGCACCAAGTGCGAGCTCTTTCAAGACAAGACTTGACCAACACTGGAGCGGGTTCAGGTACATTCAGGAGCCGGTGCATGCCCAGTACTTGCCAACAGTGCGTAACAGAGACGTGACCGATCGCCCAAGCGGCTAACGAGCCGATCAGTGGCGAAGAGGATAAAACTAGAAACTGAAACTAGAGCTTGAATACAAATTACACTAGCACTAATGGTTATTTCCTGATGAGCATAAAAAAGGACAAAAGAACGCAGTAATGCATTATCTTCCCACTGGACGATGATAAATGTCTTGAAGTAGGTGGTGATGGATATAAGAGATAAGTAGAGCGATCATGATTTTTTTTTTTTATGTTTGGAGAGAGATGAAGAATGGATGCATTTACCGAGGCCAGCACGAACTTTAACCTTCATGTTACTGTTCATCGCGACACTTACCTCAGAATCCATGGATCGACTCATTAGATATAGAGAGGTGTTTTAAGAAGATTCTTGCCAGGCAGTCCATCATCTGATGCTGGCTAACGCCTCCTCACAGGGCATGAGGTGCTGGTGTATCCTGGGAGCCGTGGTCATCTTCGTCGCCCAAGCCTTAGTTCAAGTCCCCGTCGGAGATATAAGGAAAACGGGGGATGATGTGGAGGTGGTCGCTGAGGAGGATGAAGACACTGAGGTAAGATCATAGTTTAGTTAACATCTACAGTCAAGTATACGAACTTAAGCGGTAGGAAGTAAGCAGCTACCAAACAGGGAGGTACTACCGTCTGGGGAGATATTGGAAGCGTAATGTATTGTCTAATGGTAGACCCTGCTGCCATATGGCATCACGGAAATTGTGAGTTATAGTTTCTTATCCCATTAAGTACCAAGGGTCTTACGGCTACTGGGATACTTATATCAACAAATTGCATTACGAGTATTAGCACATAGATCAGAGAACACGAGAGAAATAGTTAAAGAATTTAAAGGTTAAGTTTATTAATACCACCCATTGCTGTCAAAAAAGTTTTCATTGGTTTGTTACCTCGGCGTTAAAATTAGGGTTGCCAGATTTCCATTGAGAGCTGACCGGACATATGTTGGTGTTAAGCCTCGTACATACCAACATACTTTGTCTAGAAACAGTCGTGCAACAATGTTTCTGGGCTGTTGCGAGACAATCCACAAACACTTGGGAGACACGGCAACATTGTTTCTGGACTGTCCAGCGACTGTTGCGAAACAGTCCAGAAACATTGTTACGCGACTGGTTCTGGATAAAGTATTGTAGCGTGAGTATGTGGCGCAGTTAGTCAAATTTCTCTTTCTTATGTGTCAACTATCTCTTTCTTTAGGACCACATACACACGTACATAAAGGAGATCTTGCACTCAGGATGGAGGTGAGGAAGGAAACTCATAATAGCGTTAACTCCACGTATATTGTATATACAATGCAGTAGGATGCAGTGGCGTAGCTAGAGTGTGTGCCGCCCCCCGTTCCCCACAAAAAATAAATATTGCACAGTGACTCACTCTTATATATACATATATATACATATATATATATATATATATATATATATATATATATATATATATATATATATATATATATTAAATAGTTTGTGTACCATTATAATATTACTGTACTTTCACATACTCAAATATAGTATGCTTTAAATACACACCAAACATACTTAAACTTTATAAGTAACAGTTAAACAAAAATAAAAAACGACATATAGGATAGGGAAAAAAGTAAAAAAGTGTAAAAAATTAGGACCAATACTTTAATATTTCTTACCTTACAGTATTATGTCTTCCAACGAAGTAAATAACTGGATCGAAAACACAAGAGAACTTAAAAATCGTCTAGCCTCCCCTCGTCTTGTCACGATGGAGACTTGTGCAGAACTGAAGTGAATTGCTTGTAACTGGTGGATTGGTCGGCTGTACATGAACTTATATGACCCGAGACTGCATGGTTTTGCAGCTACTGGAGACGTTAATCCTTCCCTTTGTATCGGCGGCAAGTTAATCCTCGTCGTGTCTGACCTAACACCTGACCCACACCACATGAGCTCACTGGCGTACTTGTTTGAAGTTGTTTCCTTAATCCTCAACAGGTTACAGGTTGTGTGTGTGGCGGGGGGGGGGCATAGCAAGGGTGTAGCTCATGACGTGGCCGTGATGATGTGGGTCAGGTGTTAGGTCAGACACGACAAGGATTAACTTGCCGCCGATACAAAGGGATGGATTAACGTCTCCAGTAGCTACAGATATGTGTGATGAGCAGACCCAAAAGTGCCGCCCCCAAAAGTGCCGCCCGGGGCGGCCCCCCCCCCCTAGCTACGCTAGTGGTAGGATGCTGGGGAGTTGCCGTGTTGTGGAGGAGCTTCTTGAGAGGAGGTCTTGTCGGCTTGAGAGCGTGGTGTAGAATGACCTTCACGGCTGTTGTCGTTGAGATTATCGGACCGTAGTCCGCTGTCCGACACGAGCCTTAGCCTATAGGCGGGCCACCTACAGGCAAAGGCCTGGAGCTGGAGCTCTTGGAGCAGGCAGACCGGATTGGGGATAGAAGGTGTCCTACCTGCAGATATGAAAGGACACTGCAGGTTTGCAAGTGTGAGCGGACCTCGGTCAGTGAGAGCCTACCACCAACCCCCACTCTTGGACGTGGTCAGTTTCGGAGTGGCGCGCCCCTCGAACCGGGGTCCGCACTGGATGGGGGAGGATACTTCCTAAGCTATCTGGGTGGTGGGTATCGTGTGATGACCCGTGTGATGACCCGGAGAAGGTGGTGAATATGGTTTGTTTAGGCCTTTCGGGTTAGAGTGACCGCTGGTGTTGTGTGTTCTTCTTGGAAGTTTCAAATTGTTTCGGAGACTTTGTGTGACTTCGCAGTCGAGGAGATAGTGTTCCAGTGGGTTGGCCTCTGGCTCCTGACAGTGGGTGCATTCCCTGATGACATTTCCGATCGTCTGCCAGGTGCACTTGTACCCTAGTTGTAGTCGATGAAGGCTAAATTGGGTTTGTCTTGGTGTTTTCTTGTCTGCGTATGGTGGTTCCCCTTTTGTAGCCGCCAGGTACCATTTGGCTGATTGGGAACCAGCGTTGAATGTGTCAAGGAAGCTCTTTTGGTTGTGGAGCTTGGTAGTCTTTCTAAGGTGGTTCTTGGTCTGTTGCACGCTTGGTGGAACTTGAATGTGTACGCTTCTAAAATGTGTGGCTGCCTTGGCTGCTTCATCTGCCATGTCATTTACCCCGATCCCTACATGACTTGGGAATCCAGTGTAAGACGACTGGGCGATTTTGTCTTTGGAAGTCCTGTAGCTGTGCGAGGATCGAGGTTATGATGTAGACGTTGTCTCTTGGTTGACTGTGTTGCAGCACCTGCATGGCCGTTTTCGAGTCCGTGTGAATTATGATGGACTTGTTATGTTTTGTTGCAGCGTGTTGTACGGCATTTGAGATTGCTACCAACTCTGTTTGTAGGGTGGAGCAGTCATTGGAAAGTCTCCATAGGAGGGTCTGACCTTGGGTGTGGAAGGCCGCTCCGGATCTTTCATGAAGTATGATGCTACATCAGCTGGTGTCTCGGTGGCTATGGCTTCCTGAGTTATCTTTTGAGGTCTTCCTTCTGGAGGTTGGCTTTGCTATCACCTAGTTCGTTGATTTTGAATGGTTGCTGGTGGAGGGCTCCATGGTGGTGGAACTACATAATCCCTGTCTCGTATGTCTTGAATGTTCTTGATGAGTGTTTCTGCTTGCAGGTGCCTGATGACCTTGCTCGCCTCATGTGACCAGGTGGCCCCTCACGCTCTGTGGTCAAGTTAGGCACTGATTCGCATTTTTGCAGCTGTGGGCTTATCTGATCTACAGATTTTGGCGAGGAATCCGGCTGTCACCTGCTTGACTCGTACTGCCAGGGATGGTAGTTCAGTTTCCATTTGCAAATTACAAAATTCTGATCCACTTGGGTGCTCCAAGCATGGTCATGAGAGCATTATTTTGGATAACTTCTAGCTGAGCTATCTGGTCTTCTCTCAGTCCAATGAGCACTGATGGCGGCCGTGTAGTAGGCTTTGAGCACGTGTATGTTCACTCCTGCGGTTGTGCTGGTGAGCGACCTCATTATGTTGTGTCTGCTCTTCGTCATGTGCCAGAGATACTCGAGTTGCGGCTTGAAAGTGAGTTTCTGGTCGAACCAGATTCCAAGACGCTGGTGGGTGTTGGTCCAGACTACCGGCGTGTTTTGTATGGAGAACATCATGTCTGGTGTGTCTGTGCAGATGGCCATCGCTTTCGACTTGGCTGGATTTATCTTGAGTCCAAGTCTGTTGCACTCCTCTTCTATAAGTTGGAGTGCGTGTTGCATGTTGGCTAGTCTGTTTGCTCCTCTTACTATGAGCTGCAAGTCGTCTGCATAGCAGAGGAACTTGGCTGTTTGTCTGAAAGGTAGTCTGACTAGATTTTCCATCAGGACATTGAACAGCGTTGGACTGAGGATGCCTCCTTGTGGGGTTCCTTTTTCGTGGGCCCTGTAGCTTGATGTTGCCCCCTGAAAGCGGCGAGGCGGGGGGGGGGGTATTTATACAATCCTACCTACTCAAGATTCGAGGTGCGAGATGAAAGGAGCCTCTGATTGGCTGGTCGAGGACGGCAGGTGGCCAATCAGCGAGTGGTTCAGGAGGGGAGGCTGTGGTATGCAACTCGCTGCTGATTGGCCGAGGCGAGGATGGCTGAGTGGTTGTAGTGAGAGGAAGCCACTGCAGTATCTTGGTGTGTACGAGGTCCTGAGACAGTGTTTCTGGACTTTTGCGAGACAGTCGTGCAACAAATTTGGATTTTTCTGAGACAGTCGAAAAACAGTCCAGAGACAATGTTGCACAACATGTATCTCAGTGTGTACTCGACCATACATTGCTGGGGGAATAGGTGACAGATCGAACGCAAACAAAACAAAATTAAAGTTAATTCCATTTATTTTCAGCATGCAAATTCAACAGTAGTATTTTCCAATTATATTAATTAACAAATAAAAGAAGCAGCTCGCACTAGTAATAAGATAAATAACAAAAGTATTACTTTTTTCCTTCCATTTGTAGTGTCCTCTTTACTTGTTAGGTTGATATTTTATATTTTTTCTTGTAGCTCTAACAAGTTCCTTGGCAGCTTTAGTTCCGAGAAATGCTCCAAACTCTCCACAACTCATTCCATTGTTGAAGTGAACCAACAGTTCTGCCTTGTACCATGTCCACTTGAGACAATTTCTTTCATCTGTCCAAAGGTTTTTCATCACACTGAAGATGCGCTCTACATATGCATTGCTGGGTGGAATAGCAAACACATGCTGCACTATCTTGAGTAAATTTGGGGACTCGGAATTTTTTTTAATTTTACCCACAGATCAGAGGAGTTTAATTGTTTCTCTTGAGCCATTTCGTGTGATGAAACCATTGTTACGGATGACGGGACCTCTGTCATATTCCTCAGGGCAGGCAGCACTTCATTCAAATTGAAAATATCATTGAAAAGCTTGTCCCCATCAACCTCAATATATATGACTAAGGCAATTTGGCAGAGCCAGTAATGGTGTCCGAGTCAACAAAATTCAAAGAAAACGCTTTTTAATTTATTAATATTTCTTTTTTTTTGGGGGGGGGGGGAGGTGGAGACTTAACAGTGATTCTTTATCATTCATCATATGAAAGAATGAGTGAGTTTCAGTTTTAAATTGTAATTACTATTTCCACTTTGCTCTGACCGGACAATTTAGCGTCGGGTCACTACTTCTGACCGGACATGGGATATACACTGTATAACCAGACATTCCGGTCGGAAACTGGACGTCTGGCAACCGTAGTTATAATATCGCATCACTACTTAGGTGTTATTATATGAAAGATACTGAGTTGACGGAGGGTGTGCTTGTGTATTCCCAGGGGGAGGTGGGCGAGGCAAAGGAACTCCTGCTCGACAACAACGGCGACGTGGAGGAGCCCGGCGACCACTGCAGCAGGTACTCCCCTCAGGAGGTCTTTCACACAGACATCCATCCTCGCCTCGTTAACATCCTCGATGGTAGGTAAAGATTCGTGGCGCCGAGTTGAACATTTACAGTTATCTCAAACCGAAGATTTTATTTCGTTATCCCCGAAGACAAAACTCAATCTCTTAAGATAAAGATGTGTACAATAACAAGCTGAAAAGTGCAGTAAAATACAGAGGCTAGAGTACACGTAGTGACCTCACCAACCCACCGGATACGTTACCAATCAATGTCCCTCAAGTAGATGAAGCCTATGATGGCACAGCATTATGTGAAATAAAATCTTTTTGTTAATTTATTGCCCTGTCTGATGCTAATTAAACATATCTACAGTAGTTATGGTAGAGTCTCAGTGTAATTTCAGTACAGTACTACAGTTTTGTTATTTTTGTGTTTTAATCAATTTTGTGCATCCTTTCATCAATACTTAATAGAAATATTAATTGTACGAACCTTAGAGATTATGGTCTCCTGTATCCACAATATAACTTCATAACAAGTAAGACTAATAAATGTGATTCTGTAGCATGTGAAGGATTGAGTAGCCTATTTGTTGACTTTCAGAGCTGAGCCACTTCGTGGAGTCGGTCTTGAGTCGGATCGAGTCAGCTTTATACACACTCATACCCCATGTTAGCGAATCACCTATGTAAGTTGTTTGTCATCTGTGTAAGCTTTTTCGTCAGGTGTGTCTACGTGCATAAATTCTATCAGGTGAAGATCAGACCTATACATAAATTAGGGTTGCCATATCTGAACGTTAAAAAAAGAGGACGCTCCGGAAGACATCAACCCCTGCCTGGCACACACAGGCTAATATACAACATACATGGTATAGAAATCTTTAAAATAATAAAAAAAATTACCTTTGCTTCAGGCTGAACATCTTCAAGCCCTTAGCTGCAGTCTTCTTCCTCCACTGTGTGTGTGACTTGATGTGCCCATGCATACTTTTCTGTAGATTGGATCTTCTTCATTATTGGCTGATTGCTCTTAAGAAAGGTATAGAAGTCACTGCAAGATGTTTCTCGGAAGTTGTACTGTACAGTCAGAATGCCTTTCATTGTTTCACCACTCAAATTGTTCCTTTCCTTTGTCCATTGACTTTGCAGCAGTGAAGAAACTCTTTCTACATTTGCATTGTGAGATGATATAGCATAGAAGAATTGTGCAATTCTTAGCAATTCTGAGTGGCTTTCAAAGTTCTTTGATTTTTCAAAGTATCTGGTCCACTTTTTATGTGTTGGAAGATTACTAAATTCATCACTCTTGTAATTTTTCACAAACTGCTTCAGGTTACTAACTTGGTCAAAACACTTCACATCATCAACTTCTACCCCCTTATCCATCAAATATTTAACACACGGCTCCACATCAGTCCAGTTTGGTGTTTCACTCAAGGTTATCCACTTGAAACAAGAAAAATCTTCCATTGGTTTCATCCATTTCTCAATATACTCAAGGCATCTGTCGTATAGATTAACTATTTCAGCACAAAACTTGTTACACTTTCTCATTTCCTTCTGTGCGTTTTTTGAGCAAGCAATCCTTTAACTTTCAAGGACATAAAATTCTGACTCTTGCGTTCAACAAGCATTTTATGAACAGATTCAATTTGTCAACACATCTACAACAGGATTGCTTTCCCTTTCAATTACTTGAATGTGTGAATGAAATACATTCATTAATGAGTGCATGTGCCAGAGGTAAATCTCACTCATTTCATTCTCAAAGAATTTTTTAATTACTGTGGGTGGTTTGTCTTGTGATAGAAAGAAGGATTTCAAAGCAGGAAACATCTGTATTAGCCTGGCGATGCCAGGCAATAGTGACAGCAAGCGAGTCTTACTATGGGAGAGGAGCTTCCTGTATTCAACTTCAACAAAATCACAATACTCCTTGAGTTGCTCAGTTTGAAGTGTGTAGATATGAAAATATTGATAAATTTTACAGATAATATTTTCAATATTAATATCCATTCTTTCTGCTGCATGATGGACACAGTTGTTTAAAATATGCGCTGGGCAACCCACTCCAATTAGTGATCTCTTTTGAAGCAATTTCTTCAAATTTGCAAACACATTATTGCCGTCTTCATTACGTCTGAGTCCTCCAAACATTGTATTGCAGTTGTCACCTGTGAATGCAACACATTTCTCAGAGAGACCATTTTTCTCCAGAGTTTCCTTTACATAATTAGCGATTGTGTCTACAGTCTCATTAGGTGTGTTCTTTAACTCAATCAGTTTTGACTGCAAGCCACCATTCTTCCAGTCAAAGTACTGAATAATTACAGGAAATAGCTTTATTGAATTGTGATTACTTCCATCTGTAGCAATTCCACAATACGCTATCTCATTTTCTTCAAGATTTTTCAAGGCAGCATTAACAGAATGTGGTGCAAGCACAGAATTAACAATTGCTTCTGTTTTTGTTCGAGCACTAGAAAACTTCCTTGCCACCTCAGAATCAGAGGAAGTATTTTTAACCAAGGCAGATGAACAGTTCATGGACTTGAAGCTTTTGTGATGTTTAACAGTGTGAAATGCATAAGTACCTTCTGCAGCAGTGACAGCATCTTCAGTTTTACTACCTGGTTTGACAAAAAAATCTGTCAGTTTCATCGATGAGCCCTCTCCTTGAACTGCTTTCTTGTGTTTGTCCGAGTTCACATGTGTTTGCAAATCATTAATACCTTTATTTGCCACAGAGACGTACGTTCCTGGTTTGCACACCAAACACTGCGCTTCCCTTTCATCCCTGCCTCTCTTAAAACATGGGAGTTTGCTCTGCAACTCTACAGTGAATTTACATTTGCGTTTGGGCATTTTTCTCTGGAAAAGTACAACAAATCGTAAGCACTAGCTGAGGCAACAAGCGACAAACCCACAACAAAGACTAAGTTCAAACACTGTCACTGCAGGTTAAAGACTGGCCAACCACCGGTCACCGTCATAGTTGTCAACAAACGTAAATAATATAGCGAAAGTGGCTAGATTATGGTTGAAAATTGCTAAAATGGCTTTAATGCAGGACAAGAAAAACAAATGCTGCAATAGCACTAAATACAAAAATAAATCATAATAATGCGCGTGGCTGAAGAACAAGGAAAAGCAGTACATAGCACTACATGCTAGCCCAAAAACTGCTAGCAGCTAAGTTGACAACACTGTACAGGCGTCACGTGTACTACTTGTACTATACGTGACTTATCAGCTGACGAAAACTGAACGAGATCTCTACGGTTTGCACCTCCCCTCTCTCTCGTCATTACAGTTTCATGTTTCTTTTTCCGTGGAGAAAATGATGGAAGCTGAAATTCCGGACTTTTGAAGAATTTTAAAAATTCCTTCCGAATGAAGATTTCGAGACCTAAATGGAGGACATGTCCGGGAAAATACGGACGTATGGCAACCCTAAGTCATAAACACAAAAGGAGCATATAGCTACCTTTTTCCTGCCGTGTTGTTTTTATCCTGCATTTCATTCGGTCCATAAATTATTAGCCTTGCTGAGTTTTTTGACCCAACACAGCTTCTAATTCTGTGTATGTTTTCTGGCACCTAGAGGGGAGACGAGCGTGGAGGAACTGTTCCCCGAGATGAGACGCTTCATGTTTGGTACGATGAGGTCCGTGTATGACGTCATCAAGACAGCGTGGAAGGACACCATCACCAGCCACGTGCAAGGCCACGCCACTCCTCTCTACACCCTCACCTCGCTATCCGTTCTGAAGGGTAACTCTTTTAATGTATCTTTTCACCATTTACCAGCTTCCTAGCCGCTCGGGCGATTGGTCCATTCTTTATGAACTTTACTGTCCAGTGTTAGTACAGGAGGAAATTGGAGTACCCAGAGAAAACCTGTTGTTTGGTTGGGTCACTGAATAACATCTTTCTTACATCTGTCCCAAGTTAGGACTCGAACCCAGAACATGCAGTTTTAGGTAAATATATTACATGTCACTGAACACACATCACTAGATAATGGAAAATAATGCAATAACAAAAATTACAGATAATTAAGCACGAATCGAATAATACACAATACAATATTTAAAAAAAAAAAATGGCGATCGTTAGCATTTCAGATTTCCCCGCGAGGGGGCTAGTTTATTGGACACATCCTTGCATCCTGTGCAAGATGAAGCGCAAAAGCGTTTACAGGGCCCATATAAAATATCCTAAAGCTTAAGATATTAAAACAAAGATGACCAAGCAGTGGTTAATGGCTGCTTTATACAACATTTGAAAAAAATAAGTACCCCACACGCGACATACACTCTGGGAATAGACCAAGACGAGTAACGCAAGCTCCAAAAAAGTACCTATATGTGAAAGTTTTATACTTCCAGAGGCGCAGCATCAGGGGCAGGAGAAGCTGGTGATAAGTCTACGAGAGATGTCCATCACACTCAAGGCTGTAGTGTTTAATAGTGAGTGGCTCTTCTTCCTTAAAATACTCTTACACTCAGTCGTGACGTAATAGTTTTTGTGACATCACTGTCTTCACTCAACAATATACCTATTATGTCTCACACTCTCGAATTCAGTGTCTTTTGTGATGGTATTCTCTGCTGTGATGACACAGGTTTAATTAAGTATAATAATAATTTATAATGATATACAGGCATTTTCTCAACCCATGGTATACAAGGTATCTTAGTCACGCATAAGTTATATACAGGTATCCACGTGATCCAAACATCACTCAAGTTACCTAACGACACGGACGAGCATGAAGCAGCACTGGCCATTAACAAGAAGGTTCCTAAGGTACGATGCTTACTCTCACACTTTCGCTTATACGATGAAATCTTAACCAAAACCAAGCATAACCTTATCAAAATCTAAGGTAAACTAACCTAATCTAACTTAATCTAACAGTAGCCTAACTGAACCTGACCAATTCTAACTTAAACTAACCTGCCCTGAGCCAACCTAGTTTAACTCGACCTTTCCTAACTTAATCTAACGTGCCCTAACACAACCTAACCAAACCCAAGATAACCTAGCCTAAATCCATCCTAATTCTACCTTGACATAGCCTGCACTTACCCGAACTTATAAATCTAGTGGTATAGGATTGGACTGAAGTTAAGACAAATTAAATGTATTTCAATCTATTTATACAGTAAACCCTCACTTTACGCGGTCAATAGAACCCACGGCGGCCCGTGTAAAGTGAGAAACGTGTAAAGTGAACAACATAACATATGGGATTAATTGAAATAGAGACCAGGCCGACCCCCAAACTCCGCTTTTTCAGACACAATACCTACGTTGTAATAAAAATAACTTCTTAATTTTATGATGGTATGCACACATAATTAATAATTAAGAGAAATATCAATAATATTAGGTTTTTTAACACTTACATTAGTAGAAAAGATGGCTGGGCACACGGGGATGGGGGTTGGTTCCGAGGCAGAGGGCAGATTATTGGCCCTCACCTGTATCACTTGTATCAATTGTATCACTATCCACCACAGAGGCTTGCAGGGCCTCTTTGTCAAACCCTCAAAGTCCATATCCTCACTATAATTATCACTATCACTGACTTGGGCCGGCTGTGGTGGGTGGCGGGTGAAGAACTCGGTAATGTTTTGATGACTGGGCGACCTTGTGCGCACCCTGCTCGCGCCGCTCTCCGCGTAAAGGGGTACACGCACCGCGGAATGTGAGCATTCCGGTTTCGGCAGGGTACCGCGTAAACGTGGAAACGCGGAATGTGGGACCGCGTAAAGCGAGGGTTGACTGTATAGCATTTCCATTTTCAGCTTAAAAGAATCTTCACCACATCCTACGTTACAGCTCAAATGTCTCCAATTAACGTTTAAAAAATTAATACAAATAATTCCTAATTTTTCTGATTGATCTATATAGATCGCTCCAAATTTCCTGGGATCGCTGATATCAATGATCCTGAAGCGTGGGAGTGATCCGTCTGGCTACAAAAAGATCCTCAAAGAGCCGCTAAGGTCCATCATCCCGTTTGTTGATAAGGTGAGATGCGTACAGAGTGCATAATTTTATGTGGTCTAGACCGAGCAGGAGTTGGTCTACCGGGATATTTACACTGCAGCGTAAATATCCCGGTAGACAACTTACTACAGTAGCACCCAGTACAGACTGTATACAGTAGTGTACAGTTTATTAAGGCAACTTTACCACCAACAAAAACATCAGTTTAAGCTACTAGTAGGACTTTACCTTAATCTCGTGTAGTATTCATAAGCATATTTATTTTCTTTATTTTTATCCATTAGAGGTCAGCTTCTGTGCCCCACATTTCATTATATTAATTTAATATAATCTCGCACTTATTCAACAATATCTGATTTGGACAACACAATTTTCTCAACAGATGTACAGTTCCCTGGAAGACTTCATTAGGTTAGGAGGCGAGGCAGTGGATATGGGGGACTTCTGGATAAACATGACGCAGGCCTCCCACCACCACCTACAGGAGTCGCCAATCCTCGAGGAGGACTACGAGGCCATCTACCAGAACGAGGAATACCTGACAGAGTTGGTACTAGAGCTGCTCGCCTCCTTCTGAAGTAATACTACATAACACAAATATGTGCCTCGTTATACTCAACATTGTTGGAACATGAACTATGAAAATACTGCAATGCCTTCATCTCATGGTATTCTAAACTTATGAAAAATTTTTAACACTTACACTGAACTTAATAACTAAATGTTACAATGAACGTCTCTACCAAAAATAAATGAATGGTTGAGTTACATTGTTTACAGATTCTTTCTATCCTCTTTATATAATACTTTTGTTATTTAAATTTGTAGGTATATATGAATTCTGTTTGTTATTATATTATCGATTAAAGTGTAGCTTCTCATCTTTATACAGTTCCTTTGAATCTTCAGACAGAATTGCCCATTGGTATCGTATACGTACACCATTATGTGTTGTCAACACCCGCCAAGGTCTTTGCGAAAGCCTCACCATCAACAGCTATTAATTAGGATTATTCCATTAAAAGCGCGATGATAAAAATAACTACTGGTCTAGTCATCCATAATGATACAGTGATCCCTCGGTTAACGAGCGCCTCGGTTAACGAGATTTCGGTTAACGATTTATCTTCCATAAGATTCTCAACTTTGGTTAACGAGCAATCCCTCGATTAACGAGTTTCTTACGAGTGGACCTCAACACGTTTTCGCTTGCATTTGGCGGTCCACCAGCTGTAGTATTAGTCCGCCAATACAGTAATCGGTTCTAGGGCTTAAATTTCGTACTATTTAAGTACTGTAAATATCAAGAAGTTTATACTATTCAATAATTTTAAAAGTTTAATATTAAATTTTTTAGTCATTTTAACAATTATTGAACATAATTGAAGTACAGAAAACTAGTTTATGCGCGCCAAACAGCCTGTCAACACACCAAACAGGCGTCAGTCTCTGTGTCTTTTCAGTGGAGGTAACATCTTGCTTGAGACTCTCTTCAACTAAACACTTTTTTTCCGTGTTTCCAAGCAAATTATTGGTTATTTTGAAATTTATTTTACATATTGACAATATATAATGCAGTGCAGTGTTGATTAAAAGAAAATAATTTTGAATTACACCAAGAGAACTAAAATTTTATGGGTGAAATTGCGCCATGGAGTGACTTCTCTTCCACCCTTCTCTTCTCCTTCTCCTCCACTCCCATCATCATCATTATCATCATCCAGGAGCCTTCTACATACACACCTCAAAGTAAGTGTACTTTACTACCTTTTTAGTTGATTTTAAGCAATTTTCTGTGAGCTGGAACCAATTACCCAAAAACCCATTGAAACAATGGTTTCGGTTAACGAGCAACCTTCTGGAACGAATTGTGCTCGTTAACCGAGAGACCACTGTATATGGGAATGTCATTATGAAACCCATTTAGTTGAAATCACACAAGTAAACATTGTATCCTTATTTTAACGTATAAATAATCAATAAACCTAAAACTGTAATTCAATCTTTTGATATTAACGTACGTATGCTGTGTCTCAGGGCCGGCCCCAGCTATATGTGGTCTGTGTGGCTGCATAGGGTCCCCATCACTTAGGGCAGTGTTATTAACTAATTTTTGCAAGGGAGCCACTTTGACAAAACACAGTCATTGAGAGCCACATCTACCGCAAATTAGCATAATGCATTATTAAGAAGGTAGTAGGCAGCTACCAAACAGGATGTGTGTGTGTGTGTGTGCGCAAAGAGCAACCGACATATAGCAGGAAGGCCAAGCCCCTGAAGGAAAGGTGGAGGAGAAGGGAGGGGGGATATGAGGGTAGGCTAGGTGAGGTGGATTGTCAAGGTGCTAATAGACACAAGAATCAAAGGGAAAGTCCGCTGTCATTGCCACCTGACATCACTTTACCTCATGAGACCTCTAGGTATGTGACCGTGTGGATGTCTCCCCACACCCACATGGCTCCACCCACACAATTCTTTTACTATGGTTAATAATTAATTAATTAAAAAATACATTATTAATTTGCCACAGACATTAAAGACAGTATTACTTAATTTACATGCAACGTTGTACAGTATTTTATCGTGAAAACAAATCTGACATTTAAGAAATTGTGGTTATTAAAAATGTTCTCTTTCATGCGGGGTTTTTCCTTGAAGAAATTGCGACGCTTTCTGTAAATTATTTGTGTGTGTGTGTGTAATTAAGGGTCTGGGTTAGTTGCTTCCTTGTTATGAGGTTGGTGTTTGGGCCTTAGAAGGTTAGCTGTGCACAGAGTGGTTGACCGGCTGGAGCAGGTGGTGGTGGGGTAACAACCCGGAAAATTAAACGATGTTTTCTTCCTCACTGTAAAGCAAAATATCACACCAACAGATTTCCTCACTACCAGAATTGGACATTACTAATACCAGAATGCCAAATTACTTTTTTCAATGCCAAACCAATTTTTTTTCTTTTAATACCAAATTTGGGGTAATTTGGCATTGAAAAATGACGGTTAGCAACCCTGCCTTAGAGCACTGAACAAGGAAATGACAGCTTGGGCACTTAAACTTCATGTTTAACACTTGGGGACATAGATAAAACGATATGAAAGAATACATGTGATTGGTTCAGGCGTGAAAAAATGCTTGTTATTGTTTAGCTTCCAAGTTTGTCCTGTGTCCTGTACAGTAATTGGATATTTAAAACTCTTGTTTGGGGCATGTAGCAAATAAAAAAAAAATTTCAATTGTATTGGAGTAAAAGCATTAAAAAATCATACTTAAGTAAAAGTCAAAGTAATAAAAAATTTGAGTACTTTTTAAAAAGTAAATACCCAAAAATATTACTTTAGTACAGTACTCAAGTAAATTTATTTAGTTACTTTACAAATCTGGGTGAATCATGCAAACAACCGAGACAAGGATGGGTGTGGCCCCATGATGCATCTGTTCTGGATTTTGAGGAGAAAAAAAGCAGAGTATCCTCTGGGAGGGGAATGATCTTAGGCATCTAACACTGTCTCCTAGAGACAAATGCATATTGGGGAGAATTTGCTCAGGAGCAACTGGAGCTCTTCCCAGTTGGCTCGTAAGCCTCAACAATTCCATTGGATGATGGTAGCCATGATTATTTGGGTTCTAAGTACACGAGAGTGCGGTCCCCAACGGGTTTAGGCTTAGGCTTAGTTTGGGTGTTGGAGCCTAGAGGATGCACCGAGAGTGTATCAAGACATAAGCCTCCTCCAGTCCACCTGTGCTTTTCTGTCCCATTCCAGGGTTGAAAGATGAGTCTGTGGCCACAAAACCACAGATGACCCAGATGTAGACTCATCCAATGGACCAACACCAGACCCACACACTGAAGTCATTCATTCGTGTGTCTGCCACCAACCGTGCTATAACCACTTTGTGTAAAAAAATCACTGATAAACAATAAAATTTATTCATAGCATATCATAAAATACAATTGCACATATAGTATTTTATGCAAAAAAAAATAGTTCCTTCCACATTCAAGCCGACCTCTGGGTGATAACACACAGTTCAGCCAGGCAGTCAACCAGATGACTCTGAGATGTGTATGTGTACACTGTGACGTCACATCGGAGTGATGGAGCATGGGTGGATGGCGAGTCAGTGAAGCCGTTACAGCTCACTGCCTCCACACATACACACCCATGCACTTCATTTTTCTTATTTAATAGTTTTTTATTATGTTCTCTTAATTTCTTAGCCACATTAGAGTATCAAAATTTTTATTCTTTTGCTCTGTATTAAAGAAAACGGTTTTACTAGGTTAGATTAAAATATCCTGAGTAATATGTTACTTTTTTTTTTACATACTGAAAACTTGAAGAGGCAAAAAAACCTATTGTTTTTGTTAAAATTATTAATTTGTATTACAAAAACTCTCCATATAAACATCAACACCATCTCTGAAACAGAATATTATGAAAAAAATGATAAATCTTGGTAGCCACGGTAAAGTTGTGGAAAAGTGTTCCTACACCCCGTGGTAGCTCATGTCTACATACGGCCAACCTATTGCAAACCGATCCACCAATCACGTTTGTCGTTACATGACCAATATTACAAATGACCTTACCGTTTGGAGACACATTTCCGCAACTGTACCAAACTCTATTTTTTCCATAAAGTAGCAAATTCAGTATTTGTGGATTCATGATGATTTCCAAGAACGTAACCCTCATGAATACAGGACGATAAGTGTACAGTAGTCTTATTGTCTTATTTTTTCTGCTTATGTTAAAGTCAAAACAATAACAAAACCAATGATGTATAAATCATACAAAAATTAAAAAAAAAAAAGAAATCCCGTGGGATAAATTGGCCACAGAACAATGATGATCAGACCTCACGAGTGGTCCCATATGACTTTTGTCATTGCCGTGTAAACCTATAAATTTTGGTGTGCACGAGAGGGTTAATGTGTTTAACTACTCGAGTACACCCAGGGGAAAAAAAAAAGCCAGTGAAATATCATAGGCAGTGAATAATTGACATTGCAAAAGCAATTGAAAATTTCCAAGAGTAATTTTCTATCCATATTTTTTTTTACCACATATCCTCAGTATACTACAGTAGTTCTGTAGCACTATGCTTGATACTGTATATGAATCTGTATAAAGTATGGACAAAGACCACATTAATAGAGAATAAGATATCGTACTTATATAAGAACTGAGCCAGTTGAAGGGAGATATTGAAACACATGGTGGAGGTTTTCTTTCACCCTCCTGCTTGATCAGAAATAATAAACTAATAAACACACTGTTCAGAGGAACGGTGATTATAAAAAATATATATTTAGTTAATCCATTTACTGCCTCACAATAGGAACTAAATATACATTACAAAACTCAATTCAATACATGTTTTAAGATTCTAGTAATGTTTTTATATGTAATAACCACAGTCTTTTGGTATCTACATTACTGAAATTTGGTAAAATGTGGAGAAGTACTGTACAGTATAAAGTGAACAAACAATTTCCGTACATAGAAGGAATGTGGATGGGAGTTTAAATGCATCATGTAAGGTAGGAACATATTCTTGGAGGTGAAGAGGAAATTGAGAGATATGATAATCCTTCATAACTTGACATATTAACAGTGAAACCGGGCTGTAAGTTTGGCATAAGGCTCTAAAATTAATGATACAAACAAGATGTCTGAGGGAAATACCTAAGGTTAACAAAATGGAAGGAACAAGAAATGGAATGTGCAAAAGTATATAAAACTCTTGTTCTTCATGTAGTCAAACTACTTCTTGATCAGTCCTTCCAACTTGCTAATTTCCTTACCATAGCCTTCATTGCTGGTCCAGGGAGTTTCTAAGATTAAGGGAACATCATTGAAGTGTTCACAATTCATGATTCGCTGAAATCCTGCAATTCCAATTTTTCCTCGACCAATGTTTTCATGGCGGTCCTTATGATCTCCAGACTCACCTGCAATGTATGAATAGTAAAATTCAGGATTGATTAAAAAATCTCTTAAAAGACAGTCTATAGTTTGGGGACTTGATTTAATATACTAACCACAATTATTAAAGTGAGTGACAGCCCACAACTCCACTTTGGTGTATGGTAGCTGGGAGTAATCTTACCAATGTAAAATCTTAAAAAAAAAGAGCACAAGTCAAGTGAAGGAAACTGTTAGGTGTTCCATGCAAACCTATAAAATTGATATTTTATCTCAATTTCTGAAAAAATCTCTTCGCCAAGGTAACCTTGGTGATTTCACGACTTCGTTGCCCAAGTGCCAAAATTCATCGTGTGAAATGTTTCAAATAACAAATGTTTTTAGCAGAAACTGTAAAGGTACATCTACACTAAATTTGAGACAATTTATATCTACCAGAAATTACAAGTTGAAAAATTACCATAATAGCACACAACTCAGCCTGGTAGTGAGCAGACTAGGGGGAATGGCTACAGTGACAAGTTTAACTTGGTAACAATGCCACCGGTGATGTAAGATGCAAATAGTGAATGGGAATACCCTACTGAGATTTACAATGCATATAAAAGTTTGGCCCTTGTATTAGGGCAATTCCTAGAACCATTGGGGTCAGCTCTACGGGGTGGGGCCAAGGTGGCATGCCATTAGGGTGGACAGGGAGCTAGTCCCCTCTCCCCCACAAAGGCAGATTTGTTATCAGTTACTTTTCATCGCAGAAGGTTGATTTTGGGCCCAAACAATTCAGAATACAATGTATGACAACTTTGAAGAGGGTATTCCATAGTGCAGGGGTACCCCAGTCCCTTGCAGCCCCCAAATGGGGACATGCTCTCATTTGTGAGAGCGACAGTCAGGCTGGTTTTGACCTCCTTGTGTAACACATCACTTGAATTAATGTGCTGAACCACTTAATTGAAAATAAAATACATAATTTGAGGAATTTTATTTTCTATAGTCATATATATCGTTTAATAGGTTACAGAATTTGTAAAACATGTAGACTTTATTGTGTCCTACATGACATGTACAGTCACCTCTCAATTTACATGGTACAGTAAAACCTCGATAAATCAGACTTCACATCACCAGAAATACTGTACTAAGAAAACAAACACGCTTTAAGGAATGGGGAAGATTCATAAAAAAAATCTCCTGAAAAGAACCACTCTTACTGAATACTGTACTGTGGTCTAATCATATTTGCTTTAGGCCTACTAAGAATTAAGACACTTGAGTATGTAAGTAGGGTGGGACTGATCAGGTGTTGCTGCATTTGTCAGGTTTATTTATTTATTGATTCAGTATTATATTCTCATATAATTGGCCTCTTATGGTTTATGGTTCATCATGATTAATATAACATCTTCAGTAATAGAGAAAAATACAATACTGTATGTAATTTGTAATATGACTTGAAAATAAAAGGATAAGCTGTATCAGAAGGTTATTAACTCAAGATGCATCCATGTGAGAGCTTTCAGCAGACCAGTTTACAACAGGGGTCACTATAACACATTGTACAGTCAAACTTCCCAAGCTCACCTATGCCTCCCCTACCTGGTCTTCCTCCCTAAATGCCACACAATGTAAACACCTAGAAAAAGTGCAAAAGAGGGCATGCAAGATTATTCTCTCCCCTTCCTACTCCACACATCAAGAAGCGCTCAACACACTGACCCTTTCGACTCTCACTGACCATCACCACGACCTCATCTGCAAATTTGGTAAGAAGCTTCTGCACCATCCTCGACACCGGCTCCTACTACCACCTGAGATCCCTAGCCCGAGAATTGCTGTTCGACACCACAACCGCATCCAGCCCATATGTGCATGAACTGATCGCTATAAGAACAGCCCAGTCCCAACCATTGTAAAAATTATCAATAACTTGTAATAAACCAGTGTATTCACTCCCAGTAAATCCTACTTTTTGCACTGTCACTATGTTGAAATGCCCTGTAGTCTGAGCTTTTCCCCATCTAGTTATTATATATCTTATTTATATCACTTATGTTATTTGTATATTATTTGTAATTCAAAACCCATTCCCCAATTATGTAACTGTATATTTTCAGCCTTCTGGCTGCCAAGCTCTTTCAATAAACCGTTAATTGTTATTATTATTACAGTACTTGATATAAAGATACCCTCTTAACAATTTTATTTACTACCTTTGAATGTTTTATGATGGCTCAATTCGGCTACTTGTACGCTGTGAAAAGATAGTTTGTAAAAAGCCAAATGAAGATCGTGTAGTGCACATGCTAGTGTGACAGCAAAACTTGCTGCTTGCAGCCTTGAGAAGTAGCTGGCATGTCCAATCATCCCTTTTAGATAAATTGATATAACAGGAAGGTATCAACAAATTAATAAATTAGTTTCATCTACTAATGTACGGGGTTCCAGGGTTATTTAACTCATAGACTTTGTTCATAATACACAGTGAGTTACTCAATCCAGTGTAAGGTTATAATTTTTTTCATGTGACCATCTGTTTGTGGAAACTGAAGAGTGACATCAGAGACAATAATGGAAAACAGAAAAACATTAGGGATAACAAAAATGCATAATTATCTCCTTTCATTCACAAACTAACCTTTGGAATCATTCATATGTATCCCTCGAAGAAACTGCCACCCAATGATTTTACCAAAATCATCCAAAAATTTATTAAGTCCATCTTCTGTAGAGAGATCATAACCTGTAAGACGGTAAATGAGAAAATAAGCACCAAGGAGAACATGGTGTTGCAGGGGTATTGTCTAATGGTAGACCCTGCTGCCATATGGGATCACAAAAATTTTGACCAAGTTCCAGGTTGCTCATCTGACTTTCTGCCTCATTTGTATTAATAACTATCATTATTATTAATATTATTACATTTTCACCCCCAGGCCCTGATGTGGGTCATTGACCTATGGCAGGGTGGGGTAATCCTGTAATAGTAGTAGTAATATTAAGGTAATTAAATGGTGGCGAAGGTGTGGCTATTGGGGGAGGCTGGAGGCCACTTTTACAAAAAAAAAGAAAAAGAAAAAAGTAGTAGTAGTAGTAGTAGTAATAATAATAATAATAAAACTAAACAACCAATATAAGTTTTACATATACAGTAAACCCTTGCATATACAGTACAGTATATCATAGGAATACCCATTATTTTCCATACAGTACATGCAAATGAACTAGCAAATTGCCATCACAAGTGTTGGCCAAGTTTCTTACATTTATGCAAGTTTATGATACTACAGAAAAGATTCCTATTGCAATGCTTCTTATGTCAGTCTGCCAAAACATCTGCTTTACATTTCAGATTAGAAAGATAAGACACCTTGAAAAACATTTTCAACACATTATGCTGCTACCCTCTTGGACACTAAATGATAAGTACTGATAGTTAAAGATGACCTGTAACAATTAACAAGCTACCTTATCCTGTGATTTTACATGAAATATGCAAGGAATTCAACACACAATTATTGTGCAGCTGTCTGATTGAGCTTACAGTACTAGAGTTCGAGAAACTAAGTGAGTGAGTCTCACAATTCTCGTTTTTTGTGCAAATCCAGTCACCTATAGTAGATATTTGATTACCACTGTAGTAACTGTATGAAAAGCATTATGTATACAAAGCACTCCTGACTGAACTGAATGATGACAACTATGAATGATACATGCCCCACCCTAAATTCTGGATAAACAAAAGTTACCTGCAGCATGTGCATGACAGGTGTCAAGGCAAACTCCAACCCGCGATCTATCTTTCACATGCTCAATAATGAGGCGTAGTTCGTGAAGATCTCCACCAATGGTAAATCCCTGCAAAAGAATCCAATGATCAGTTATGGCTGTTCAGGGATAAATACCTTTGCAATGATGTTACACAATCCATAGCAAAGCCAGCTGCCATGATAAGTTACACAAATCCAGAATACCAAAACTAAAACTCAGTAACTGAAATTTTTAGACTATAACTCTTGTATTTCCACAAAATATATATTTTTTTTAATACAAAGATTAACTTTCTAATAATAAGAAATAATATGAGTATCAGGATGAATAGCCAGTGTTCGGTGTAACAGCAGTTTGCCACTTGTTTGGCACCAACTCCAAGAGATGGAGGTATGGTAGGCAGGAGGGGAGGGTGAGCCGGCAGTCGGGCTACGAATGCTATACAGGTCAGGTTGGTGGCGCAAGCCCAACACCTCCCTTGATTTTAATTTAGCATATGCCCTGGCTGATAGCAGGATGAGAGAACGGTGGACCCTGGCAGCTGAGTGTAAAGCAATATAGCATACCAAGAGCAAAAGTGACCATTGAAGGAGCAGCGACGGCAGGCTTGGTGGCGATTGAGGGCGATGAAGGACATTGGTGATAGAAAGTGACAAGCAGCTGGGTGGAAACGGAAGGGACAGTGTCGATTGGAAGTGACGGTAGGAAGAGTGAGAGAAGAAGTGACAGTGGTGATTGATAGTGACAGTGGGCAGAGAGGTAATGGAAAGAACAGAGGGGACTGCAAGTAACGGTTAGAGGAACGGCAACGTAAAGGACAGGAAAATCGGGAGTAGTGACCTGCATGGACAGATTCGGTGAAGAGAACAGAGTTGAAGATTTGAATGTGAAGGACTCTCTCATACCATGTACATATGTTCTTGTTATTGTTTTATTAGAAATTTTATTGTTAATTGAAAATACCGTACAGTTACAAGAGTAAACATTGCTCCTGTTATTGACCTGCCAGTACATAAGGCACACCCTGCACATAATCATATCTCTGACAATGAGCAGAAATTTACAGCTATTGGATCATAATGTTACCCACATCAACTTATATGCAGGGGATGAAATAATACTGTATTTTGAAAGAATTGCCCAAAGCCAAGACTGAAAGTAAATATAAAGAAATATCTTACCTGGCAGCTCATATTTTCCAAGACACAGATAACATCTTTGGTTTGATCATGGGCAAGATTTATACTCTCAGCAATGCACCTGCAGCATTCCTCTCTGCTGATCTTTCCCACAGTAGATCCTGTTATGGATCCCAGATAAGTACACAGTATTACTGGATATATGTATTTACCAAGAACAACAAAACCTTATTTTATGAAGAAAAAGTCTCTTAGAATTAAATACTCTGGTAACATCTGAAAATGTTTAATTTCTTTAATTTTAAGGAGCCAGTTAAGTGTTTGAAAATGGAACGATACTATTTTTAATATTGAGTAAGGCAGGTGTTAATAATTTAATGAATCTATGGGAGGAAACAAGTATCATGAAAACTTAAATCTCTGAACTGACAATGTTTATATATCAACTTAGAGATTCAAAAATAGTATCACACAAATTTTATGGCCAGACTGTCTCCTTCATGCACAGTGGTTCTAAACATAGTACGTATACAGTAATATCTTTAAACCCATGAAATACAGTTTTATAATCTCTTGAGCTTTCCTTGGTTACATCAACTTAACGTTTACCATTTCTGTATCCCTGTTACTACCCATGTACAGTCTGAATCAATGTAAACTAGTATGATGATTTTCTGACTAAATACTTATCCTTTTTATTATTATTAATAATTGGCACTTTACGAAACAGAACCTTGAACCATAACTTGTAAATCATTAGTTAATAAGTGGTTACACAAAGACAATTAGTATGGCTTTAGAGTCACAAGCCATGAAATTGATCCCAAAGTCAAGCTGTGTTACAGAGCATCAACAGTGCTCAAAAACAAGTCATAATACTGTACTTATGGCATACAAGTCACTTTTTGTCTGAAAAATGGAAAAAAAAATCAGCCTGCGTCCTATATGTGAAGGTGTTGTCTCCTATAGGCTAATGAATCCCCCAGTTGCTGTCGCCAGTACTGTATACTAAATTTGACCTAATCCAACTCAAGAATTAAATATATGTTATTGCTTGCTTTAACACATTATTATTATTTTTAATTAATTAAAAATATAATTATTGTAAACATAAAAGCTCAATTTATAACAACTGTACTGATGATGATAACCTGAGACGATTAACGTCCATATGGCAGACACCCAATTCTTCAAAGGTAGCTGAGCAGTAACCATTTCTGAACTCTTACAAGCATTGCAGTCTATTAATGCCATACCTGCAACATTTATTTTGTCAAACTACAAATACCTGATACAAATGAAGATTTACAGATAACTTTCTTTTCACATTTACATCTGGTAACATTGCTGGCATCATTGTAGCCAGGTTAGACTCATCTCTGCAACCACCAGGCAACTGAGCCAAGCTGTTGTTTTTCAACTTGTATTTTCGGGTAGATATACGTAAAGTTTTTAATTTTTCTTTCCTGATACGTGTATTCAAGCACACACCATCCTACATACATGTTGTGAAAAAAAAATTTTTCCTAAGGACAAACACATAAAAGGAATATAAATTTCTTTGCACACAAGTTAGCTGACTTAGTGGGGGAGAGTGAGGATGGCTGGGCATTGTTGGTGGTGGTGGGGGGGAAGCGTTGCGAGGGAATCGGCAGAGGTAGCATCGCCGTTGCTATGGTAAACAGGGAGTACAGATGTACAGTATATGCAAATGGCAACTGTGTTAAACTTTCAATTGGCTTTTATTTACTGGTTTGGCAATATAGTATTTTTGGTTGTAACTTATTCAGTGGTATTATTTTTATTTATTCCTCACATTTATTGGTACTTTATATTTTGTTTTAAGAAAATCATGGCTACAGGGGGAAAACACACACAAAAGTTTTTTCCTCAATACTCCCTGCTAAATGGGGGCATCTTATATGCCGTAAAATACAGTATTCTTCTTTCTTGGATTCATTGTCACTGTCAACACTTTACAACCATTTTCCACCAAATTTGTTAACAGAGAAAAATAGAGCCTCTACCTACCAGGATGAAAGTTGTAGTGTGGGATCCCCAACTTCTCACAGCGTTGTAGCTCCTCAAGTAACATATCTCTACTTTTCTTCAGGATCTCGGGTACTGGAGAGCCGAGGTTCATGATGTACGATCCATGTGGCAATATCAGATGAACAGGAAAATTCTGGTCAAGAGAGAAAAAATACAATCAGATAAATTTTATATACAGTGGAATACATACACATAATAATTAACATCTACTATATTTTGGAGGCTTTGATCCTAATAGATACCATATCTCTTTATTATATACAGTACAGTGGTCCCTCGGTTAACGAACACAATTCGTTCCAGAAGGTCATTCGTTAACCGAATCCATTGTTTCAATGGGATATTGGGTAATTGGTTCCAGCTCACCGAAAAGCACATACAAAGTAAAAGAAAAAAAATGCAGTAAAGTACACTTACTTTGAGGTGTGTGTGTAGAAGGCTCCTGGTTGATGATGATGATGATGGGAATTAGAAGTGGGGGTGGAGGAGAAGGGAGAAGAGAAGGAATTGGGGGTGGACGAGAAATCACCCCATGCTTGATGCTGTCATTTCACCCAAAAATTTTTAAGTTCACTTGGTGTAATTCAAGATTATTTTCTTTCAATCATCACTGCACTGCACTATATATTGTCAATATGTTAAATAAATTTCAGAATGACCAATAATTGTACTGTAAAAACGTAAAAATACTCTGTGTTCAAGAGACCCACAAGCAAGATGTTTCCTCCACTGAAGAGAGATACAAACTGAGGCCCTGGTGGGTGAGTGAAGTGGCTGATGGCACACCAAAAACTAGTTCCCTGTACTGCAATTATGTTAAATACGTGTTAAAATGACTTAAAAAAATAATATAAAACTTGGAAAATTATTGAACAGTACAACCTTCTTGATATTTACTCCAATTTTAATGAATCTAATCCCTAGAACCGATTTCTGTATTGGCGGACTAATCTTCCTGCTGGTGAGCAAGCCAAAGCATGCCGAAACATTTTCGTAAGAATTTCATTAACCGAATTTTTGTTAGTTAACCGAAATGAAGATTCTTATGGAAGGTAATTCATTAACCGAAATTTCGTTAACCGAGGGACCACTGTTCATGCTTACATATCGCTAATAAAATTGTCACCATATGAAGTTACTCAGTTCAAAATTGGACAGCACATCATAAAACTTTACATACCTGGCTTGCTTCATGCCATTTCTTGATAGTTGCATTATCCAAAGGTTTTGCCACCCACTGTCGCTGATTACGTAAAAAGAGAGCAAAAGATTTGGCCTTGCACTTTTCTGCATTTTCAAAGGCATTCCAAATTCCACCTAATAGTAAAAAAAAATGTACGTATATATTATTTTGACAATGTCAATCACATACAATCAAACATGGGGATCGAAGCCAAATCCCTTAGAATGTCACAAACCCAAAGCCAGCCATTTAAAACATCATGAAGCCAAAGCCAGCCATTTAAAGTTATGAAGCCAAGGCCGAAGCCAGGGCCTTACATGGCTACACGAAACATTACCACCATTACTTATAGAATACAATATACAGTACCTTGTACTGAACAGTATTACCTTACGTGTTGATGGGAATACATATGATATTGTAAGTTACAGTAAGGCTTTGAGATAAGATGACTTTATGTTAAGTTGATTGTACTTAAGAGTAAGTTTTGACACTACCTATAGACTGAAAAAGGTTGCTTATAGTAACAATTTATCATTCATAATACTGTTGTGGCTGATACTCGCAGCTAACAGTAGCTGCCTACCAGCAAGATGTCCAAGGCAGGATGTATTTAAACCAGCGAGATTAAAATCAGAATGAGTGATACACCCTGGGAGCTAACCACGAGAGAGTGGGCTCTCTAGCACCACGCGTCAGAGTTTAGTGAGGCTACAGCCGAGCACATGTGTTTGAATACCAGCGGTGTAAGCCTGGTGTACTCATCGGGATTATATGTGCAAAGTAGTGTTCTTGTACAGGATTGTGGATAATTAGCAGGAATATAATTGTCCCAAGTTGAGTAAGGAAACCATAAAATATTGCTATTACCAGTACAGGTTCACAATCCCTTATCCGAAACCCTTGGGCCTGATTTGTTTTGGAATTTGGAATTTTTCAGATTTCAGAACGGTAGTAAGGTACATATACTACTGTTTATTATGGTAACACCCTAGCGGGGTCTATGGCAGCACCCCGTAAGCAAACACATTAATATTTCTGCAACGAACCTTATCAATATGAATTAAAAAGTACAGTACATACATCCAAAGTACTGTATACTGGTAATAGAATTAACAAAACATTAAATATAAACAAATACAGTACTGTACACATACTGTACAATAATAAATAAAAAACACTAAAAAATTTTAACACTTAATTTGAGGTGTGTAACATCTACATTCAAATTATTTGCTTTCTTGCAAGGATTCCAGCAATGCAAGTTATATTCTGCTAAGTTTAGTCTGTGACATTTTATAAGATAAAAACTTTAAGCCTAAAACTTCCTTCACCCCTGGGAAGGGGGAGGTTATGTGTTGACAGCCAGGCAGAGGGGAGGAGGGAGGGAGGGGGGGGAGGTATTGACCAGCCGGCGGGGAGATTACCCAGTGTGTCGTTATCAGTCTTATAGAGGGAGTGTAAGTTTTCTGCTTATAAAATGTCAATGAATTGACTTGATAGAATATAACTTACATTGCTGGAATTCTTGAAAGTTAGTGATTAATTTGAATATAAACATGCTATAGTTTGCATTAGACATAAAATTATTATTTTTTGTTATTTAGTATATTTGAGTACCGGTAAAGTACAGGTTTGCCCTTAAGACAATTATTTCTTTTACTTTTTTCACAATATGTATTACGGATGGTGTGTGCATGTAAGTAAAAATAAATGAAGAAAGTTAGGCACATCTACCCCAAAATACGAGTTGAAAAATTTCCTTAAATGTACTACGCTAAAGGACCAAAATTTTTCTCATGCAAAATATATGATGTGGCCCAGTCCCAGGTTACTGATCTGACTTTCTGCCTCATTTACACACATCGAAGGGTTTCAATTGTTCCTCTTACTATTGACATCACAACATACATACAGTATATTGTTTCTCACTGAAGAATTTTTTTTCTGTATGTCTTCATTATTATTATTATTAATGTTATCATCATTATTTTATTATTTATATTGACTTACTTTTTATTATAAATTTTATTTATTATGATTTATTATTATTATTACATTCCCCCCGACGTGGGTCAGTGACCTGTGCCCAGGCGGGCTAATCCCTGTGTGTGTGTGTGTATATATATATATATATATATATATATATATATATATATATATATATATATATATATATATATATATATATATATATATATATATATATATATATATATATATATATATATATATATATATATATATATATATATATATATATATATATATACAGTATAAAAAGAAATCCTGGCCATAATGGTTTCCTGAGCTTAACACTCATTCATTACTCACCACTTTACACACTGTACTAGATACCAATGTCAGACACATGCACCTGGTAGGGTTAAGGATAATGGAAAACATAAGAATGTGTGCTAAAATTAACTCCCATTGGCCGATCATAAGAGGCAGTTGTACAGGACGGTGGGTTGGGTCACATATGCTCAACACTTAAAACACAGTAACAAATACATTAGAAATTACTAAACGCAAAAAGAAATTACAGTTTCTCCTCGACTTACAACAACCCGGACATACAACGGCCATGGCCGTATAAAATATTTTTCACATTACGTACTTTCGAGTCCTGACGTTAGTGATCGGGCTGTGTACCGATAAAATTTTTGTTTGTAATTCCCTTTAAAATGGCTGGCAAACATAAAAGTGAGAGTTCTCATGGTGCTGAGAAGAAAAAGAGACACCCATTTTAGAATTTCTATGTATTACTTTCGCCTTTTCGACTTACGACCTGGTAGTCGGGACGGAACCCCGTCGTAAGTCGAGAAGAGACTGTATATGCAAACAATTCACCTTACCTGCACCAGAAACATGACAGCCCATGTACTTGAGTCCTGTTGATGGTATTGGTGCAGGGCCGTCCCCTAAGCTTTCATACTTAATAGGACGTGCAACGGGGTCATCCTTTTCCTGAAAGAGGAAAATGCATATACTGTACAGTACAGTACTGTACAGAAATAACTATGTGAGGAAAAGCAACATATTACTGAATCATGCACAGTAACTCCAGGTAAGTTATTAAGGCTACCACATGTTCATACTAACATTTGTTTTAATCCCTACAAGTATAAATGACATAACACAGCAACAGGAAACAAGATGGAGATCTACAGTGCAATCTCAAAAGTACAGTAACAATTTTCTCCCAATGGTTTCAAGTCTTCACTTTTAATCGTTGCTTAAAAATAATGAATATTCATATTTGTAGCCTACCTTTGATATCTCAGATCACTTCACACAATGCTGTGTTACTTCTGTGCTTGTACACAAGCTGGCTGTATTTACCCACATAATCACTCCAAACCAACACAGGTTGAAAACTAGTCACCAGTATTTTTGAGCATCCTAACCTAAGAGTACTGCACACATCTACTGTACTATACTATAATGCTAATAAAGGTGTACGATGCTCTCAGATGTAGCACACTACAGTATATTGCTAAGAAATCATTCCAGGGTTTGTAAATAGGATTTGTTGTTGGCATCAAGATAGTGGTATGAATTTTAGGCTGGGGATCAACCCTCAGCTGTGGCATCACTTGGCATCACTTTTATAACTTGTGGTGCAAAATACAGTACCGGTAATGCAAAATTTCACCTGACGGTTTAACAGTGGCCAGAATAATTAAACAGACAGTAAATTTCTGCCAACTATCACCATCTAATGATAACTGTGATTCTGACTATGTGGGGATAATTTAGTGCATGTACAGTACAGAACACTACCATTAATAAAAACAAACTTGCATAATTACCTTTGCCTGCTTCTTTTTTGGAGGATTTTTTTTTACTGGTTCCTGTTTCAATTCATCTTCTATATTAGGTTTTGTTTCCTCATTTGTTATTTCACCATCACCTGTGTGTTTTTGTTTGGTACCTTTTCTTTTGTTTTCAATGTCCTTGACTTTTTCTTTTCTTTCATTACCTTTGTCAACACTGGTAATTTTGTTGTTTTTCTTTTTCTTCTTTATTTGTGGCTCATCATTTATATCTTCCTTTGTTTCTTCTTCTTTAGATTTGGTCTTTCTCCTTGTCCTCTTTCTATTCACCTCTTTACTTCCACTTTCTGTCACTGCCTTTTCACGTTTCCTACCGTTCGTTTCCTTCACTTCCTCATCCTCAGTTTTAATTTCATGGTCCTTTAATTTTTCTTCATAATTAATTCTTTCAGAGACTTTACCATTCCTTGACCTTCGACTGGCTCTCCCCCTTTTAACATCATGGCCTTCCTCTGAAAGATCAAATAGTTTATAAATATTTGAAGTTACGATGTTATTTGCAGCATTTGAAGGAAAAAGCAGATTACCTCCCTCTCCCAGGTACCATTAGGATATTTAGTAATCAGGTACAATAACCTCGGGTGGCTAATATTTACATGAACCAAAACACTAAAATACGAACACCCGCTGATACGAACGAGGTCCCATAAGGTCAATTATTTTAAGAATCTGACATAGGCACAACTGGTCCATAGTATTAATGTACGAGAACTAGTTTGCGTGACGTAGCGGCGAGGCAGAGCAGCGCGTGGGGAGCAATGCATCACCCAGCCACGCACCTTGAGGGAGCGTCAGTACTCTTTACCCTCACCACCTTAACATGTGTGATCAAGTGCGAACTGCTGTTTTTTGCTCTTTAACTCTCTTTTTTGGCCTTCATCATGACTCCCAAATGCAAACCTGATGCAAGTGATTGTAGTGCATCTAAGAAAATGAAAACAAAGTGGAAGTGAAAGTTGATGTAATTAAACTTTCTGAAAGAGGCAAAACACCTTCAACTCATTGGTAAAGCGTTGGGCTTCAGTCGGCCAACGATCGAAACAATTTTGAAAGATAATCAGAAAATTCTTGAATATGTAAAGGATCTACACTAGTGCACTCAACTGTGATAACAAAATAAAGAAGTGGATTGTTAATTGAAATGGAAAGTGTTAGTGATAGGGCGGAAGATCAAAATCAACGCGATTTGCCTCTAAGTCTAGCCTTGATTCAGGAAAAAGTGCGAAGCTTGTACACTGACCAAGGCTAAACGTGGTGGTGAAAGTGATGGGGAAAATTTTGTTGCTAGTAGGGGCTGGTTTAACCAGTTCAAGATAAAGGAAAATGGTGTTAGGAAAAAACACTGCCTAAAGTTTGTCCAGGATTTCAGGTTAAATGATTCGAGATATATAAAAGGACTTAGACTATGGTATAGTGCACACAGGGCGTGTTCCGACTTACGTACATTTCCGGCTTAAGAACGTCCTCAGAAACGGAACTTGTTCATAACCCAGGGACCCCCTGTACTGTATACTGTAAATACAATTAATAATTTACTACTGAACAGATTAACCCGAGCATAAAAACCACAACATTTAGACTATCACAGTACTTGTACACACTACTATACACATATGACAGCATAAATAACAAATAAATTGGTGACACATCATACTCTTTCTCTACTTCTGGTTGAATTTAAATACCTGTGCAGTATATTCTGTAAAATTCATCTACAGTAGTTGGTAAAGATTTGTTTTAGTTACACCACGGAAACTACTAACAGCAGTTATGGAGATATGACCCCCCCCCCCCTCCCCCATCACCAACAATACTGGCTGTTCAAATGGGGCAGAGCTTTGAAGTAGAGGGAAATTATGAGGCATAATACTAAAGACAACACCAAACTAACCTTTGAAAACCTTTCTTATCCAATAAAAATCCTAAAATTATATAAAGCTTACCTTATTTGTGTTTTCTGTATTTAGTATGTGATTGTGGCATTGTTTTCAGAGTTCAGATGAGGAAGGACCCATAAAATCGAAAGCAAGTTTGGAAAGGTTAGGTAAAGGTTTCTTTGGCATTCATTTTACTATTTTAACCCACATTTTCCATCTACTTCAGAACCCTGTCCAATTTGAACAACCAATATTGTTGGTAACTGGGGAGATCATATCGGTTAAAATACTTGAAAAATATAAATTTACGATGGAAATATAACAGAATAAAGTATTTTTCTTTTTCCTTATACGTATAAACAGAAATATGAATTTCTGTGGTGTAACTAAAATGAATCTTAGCCCAGCATTGTTTAGTCGGCTTATGGATGAAGTCTGTACAGTACAGTACTGTATACCGTATATACTGTATCCAGCTCTGCATTTGCTTTTGTGACTTTACTTGACACCAAAACATACAGATTAATAGGTAAAATTATAGTTTTAGTCATCCCTGTATTTAGATACCCAAGCCTACCTAACCTAACCTAGCCACAGAACCCAGGAACTACAGTATACAGTATCAAACTTAACCTTAATTCCCAAGATTCCTAGGATGACAGAAACGATAATAATACGATTAATTAATACGTAGTTGATATTTTGCCGTGACCGGCTAAGTTTCTACTCACGATATTTTCCTGTGAGTGCGTTCTGATTGGCTAAGTACTTTCTGTTTCATATTATGGGAAGTTAGGTAAGGTTAGGTAGGTTTCTTTGGTTGGTTAGGTTCAGGTTCTATTAGGTTCCAGAAGATGTCACCTTTTAAAATGATAAGAACATCTGTGGAAAAAATTAACAAAATCGAACAACTCCTCCTGGTTAGTTATGTTTATAACTAAACAATGATCGACTCACAGCAAAATAAATGCCAAATGCCTCCAGAGTCACAGTCACATACCGTTCTCACGTTGTTCACCGGTAATGGACGATTATTCAATCGGAGCGCTTCACAGTAAAATAGCGTTAGAAAGAACTTAGCCGGTCACAGCAAAATATCCACTGCCTATTTATTATGTTTTACATTACCTACATTGCACTCATTCATGTATCGTTTGAACAGGGGCAGTGCATGCCCAGTACTTGCCAACAGTGTATAGCAAAGATGTGACTGACTGCCGAAGTGGCTAATGAGCCGATCAGTGGCGAAGTGGCTAAAAGTACTGTAGAAGTAAAAGGTAAATTTGCGTAAGCGAGCCCCATTCCAACCTAAATCAAGCAATATTTCAGTAACTGTTCGCTTCTGACGGAAATGCCACAGAAGAAAAGTGTCTTAGTATACTGTACTGTAGTCTGGGCTATGTAAAAAAACAAGTTTTTAATTTAGAAATTAATTTGGGCCCACTAATGCAATAATACCAAGTAGAAAAAAAACCTTATTGAGGTGTATAAGCATCTTAAGGGGCACTACTCAGTCCAGTGTCCTTACTTGGAGCTGGCGGAGTCTCGCCCCACAAGGGGTCACAGCTCAAGATTGAAGAATCCGCAGGTCCAGAAAACTGTGAGGGCAAACTTTTTCGGAGTGAGAGTTGTGAACTCTTGGAACAATCTACCAGACTTGACCAACACTGGAACAGTTTCAGGTTCATTCAGGAGCCGGTGCATGCCCAGTACTTGCCAACAGTGCGTAACAGAGACATGACCGATCGCCCGGGCAGCTAACGACCCGATCAATTGGAGAAGAGGATAAAAGAAAAGTAACAGAGACGTGGCTGATCGCCCAAGCGGCTAACGAGCCGATCAGTGGTGAAGAAGATAAAAGGAAAAGTAATTACTACAGTACTGTACTGTATTTCACTTATTACCACTACACGAACCTTGGGAATTTAATAGCTACAATTAATATTTTTTACAATTCCAAGACTTTTCTTCAATGGCATATCTGGTGCAAATTACATTTAAGTGAGATATTTAACATTTTATTATATATACTTGTACGTGGCAGTACACACCCTGAAAATTGAACGACGTGGCGGTAAAAATCGAACGACTGTAGAACTTCCCGGTTAGGTTAGAGTTTTGTTTTTCTGATGGTTTTCGAGGTTTTAAACACTTTTTGCATTGATTTTTATGGAATATATCTAGATTTTGAGTTGGGGGGGGGGGAATTATCTCAGAAACTATTGATTTGCACCTGAAATGAAGGTAAAATTCGTTCATAACACATCAAAAACCACCAGAAAAAATTAGTTTCAACTTTAATTTCGTATAGTAGCAACAATTGAAATTTTACGGTAAAAAGTACTGGTATTATTATCATTTTGGTCATCCAGTGAGGTTAGGGTAAGTTAGATTAGGTTGAAATTATGTTTTTCCGATGTTTTTTTAAATGTTTTGATTGATTCCGACCTTCATTTCATATTGATGGATGACTGAAACGTTACTTTTACCAAAGTACTTGCCAAAAGTGTGAAATAAAGAGGCAATACATGCCAACAGTGTGTAATAGAGCCAGTACTTGCCAACAGTGTGTAATAGAGCTAGTACTTGCCAACAGTGTGTAATAGAACAACAGTACTTGCCAACAGTATGTAATAGAGCCACAGTAATTGCCAAGTGTAATAGAGCCACTGTTGGCACAACAGTGTATAACAGACCGACCGCCCAAGCGGCTAATATACCGATCAGTGGTGAAGGATAAAGTAAAATAAGAGAACAAGATTTTCAGTGGCAATCATCGTTACCTCGACAATGGTTGAACAATTAAGTGAACCTGTCTATCGAGTAACTTAATGTTTACCACTTACAACTGAATATCTACACGTTAAACCATCCTGAACTAGTAAGACAATTTTACAGAATAAATATCAATCTACTTGTCAGTCTAACAAATAATACTGGTGATATGTAGATACACTAACCTTTAATATATGTTTTATCGAGAGACATGTTAAAATATATGGAAAATATCGGCAAAATGCAGACAAGGATGATCCAGCCTCAGCACGTGTTTACCGCCTCCATCCATGAACTTGTAAGACAACTTTACAGAATAAATATAAATATACTTGTCAGTCTAGCAAATACTACTGGTGATAATTATGTAGATACACTAACCTTTAATATGTGTTTTATCGAGAGACATGTTAAAATATATGTAAAATATCGGCAAAATGCAGACAATACAGCAACAGCCCCAGCAAGAGTGTTCACCGCCACCAGCTCCAGCCCAAGGACTGTACAGTGTTACAGGTGGAGGAGCCGAGGAGGGTGGTGCCGCTCACCCAATATTAAAGATTTTAATCCTCCCGCGATGACGAGACGCCAAGTGGCCGCTGGGTGTAAAACACTGTCAGCCTATTGGGCCTTATATGATATTGTGCGATAACACCAGATTATCAAATAAAAACAATTTATTTATAAACAGTAGGTAATTGACATCCAACTTTAGATATCTAACGGGTAGGGATAATTTCTGAAAGCAACACACTGATTGTTTTGCAGTAAAATATAATTATTTGCATACTTTACAGTCGCAGCCATATTACTGTATACTCACGTCGGTTCTTCAGCTGTTTGAGCGATGGTGATGGCTACAGTTTTACACCATTTAATATTGTTACGACCCTCCTTTCGCCACTTACCAGCTTCCAACCGCTGGTTACGAGCGGCCATGTCATACTGTATGTACAAAAGTCTATAAAGAATAGTCCAAGTACCCAAGAACAGTTATGGGGTGTAAGCGATATTTACGATGACCTTCTTGCCCTGATCTTTTTCCTTTAACACATGGAATTCTACACTTTTCGAAGATTTGGAGGAGTATCGAAGCAAGTTTCCTGGTGGGAATTATTAGCTAGTACTGTACTCAAAATATCGAAACTTCGAGATCTCTCCAGAGCTTCGAAAAGATGGTATTCCTGAAACAAGATCAGGGCAAGAAGGTCATCGCCTGAACTTGCCTAGCTTATACTACAGACGGGCAAGGGGTGACCTAGTTGAGGTGTATAAGCATCTCAAGGGGCACTACTCAGTTGAGTGTCCTTACTTGGAGCTGGCGGACGCTCGCCCCACAAGGGGTCACAGCTCAAGATTGAAGAAGCCGCAAGTCCAGAAAACTGTGAGGGCAAACTTTTTCGGAGTGAGGGTTGTAAACTCTTGGAACAATCTACCAGAGAGTGTTGTGACGGCACCGAGTGTGAGCTCTTTCAAGAGAAGACTTGACCAACACTGGAGCGGGATCAGGTACATTCAGGAGCCGGTGCATGCCCAGTACTTGCCAACAGTGCGTAACAGAGACGTGACCGATCGCCCGGGCGGCTAACAAGCCGATCAGTGGCGAAGAGGATAAAAGTAAAAAAATGGGTTTAATATTAAACATCCTTGGTTAAAATAGTTATTGTAGAAATAAACCCGTTCTCTTAAAGCACCATGTACGTTTTCTCTGAAACAAGTTTCTCGAGAGATGGCGCAGCAGTCAGGGGCTAAACGTTAATTGAATGTAGTACAAGTTTCTGTATATAGTATACCTTCCTTGGTACAGCACACCATTGTGACGTCACCAGCAAGCCATTTGTCTGAGTGACGCCGTGAGGGAAGGACTTGGCATGACTGGGTCCTACAGTACTGTATGTTGTGAATAAATTGTTAGTATTTTTATATTAAGTTATTTAAACACAAGCTTATGTCGCTACTGTCCTCTGTGGTGAATAAATTGTTAGTATTTTTATTTCATATTAAGTTACATGTAAGGTTAGAGAGTTGGTCAACCACCACCATGGTAGTTTGTAAGCCTAACAAGTAGTTATTGAGAGTTTTATTCCATTATCAAATGGAAATTTAGTTGAATATATTTTATTAAAAGGTAAATACTAAGATAAACTCCGCCATTTTATATATTATGTTGCCTTGGTATTAGTGTAGTTTATATTGGTATTTGTAGTAAGAAATAATTCGTTGCCGTCGACGATTTGGAGAACTAACAAAATTAATAGAGTTAATATTCGTTTTTGTCCCAATAGATATTACAGATTTTTGTACCATTATCAATAGGATTATTTTTTAGTTAGGAATTTATTTTCTTCTACGGCATTTCCTGGGCATATGCATAGTTCTTGTTAGGGTAGGTTAAGTTTGGGTATTAGGTACGTGGTAATAGGAGGTTAGCCTATTTTGGTATGATAAATTTTTTCTGGGGAAGTTTTTTTGAGGGGGTTTGATTGTCATCTCATTATCCGGAAATCTCTCATTCGCGGAAGTGTTCTGTACCAATTGTTCTGGCTAATTGAGATATCACTTTACTAGCCATTTGGGCAGTTGGTCTGTTCTTTGTTAGTACTGTACTCTGTTATGATGTTTATTGTCCAGTGTTAGTACTGGCGAAAACCTGCCATGTTTGGTAGTGTCACACTGGATAACACCCTTCCCACGTACTGTATGTCAGAGGTCAGGACTCAAACCCAGGACACAGTGGGTGAGAGATATGTGTGATCACTGTAGGTAATTGAGTTTTGTTCAGTGGATGAAATAGTAGTCTAAAGCCTTTGATTGAAATGACTTAAACTTTTAATTAAAGAGGTGGTATGTGGAGGGATGGAGGGGTGGTATGTGGAGGGAGGGAGGGAGGGGTAGTATGTGGAGGGAGGGAGAGGTGGTATGTGGAGGGAGGGAAGACGTGGTATGTGGAGGGAGGAAGAGGTGGATGGTGGGAGGGAGGGAGAGGGTATGTGGATTGAGGGAGAGGTGGTGGAGGGTGGGAAGGAGGTGGTATGTGTAGGGGAGGGGTGGTATGTGGAGGGTGTGGGAGGGAGGAGGGAGGGAGGAAGGAAGAGGTATTGGTGGGAGGGAGGGAGAGGTGGAGGAGGGAGGAGAGGTGGTAGGTGGTGGGAAGGAGGGGAGAGGGATGGAGGGAGGGAGAGGTGGTAGTAGGGAGGGGTGGTATGTGGGAGGAAGGGTTGGTAGGTGGAGGGAGGGAGGGAGGTGGTAGGTGGTGGGAGGGAGGGAAGGAAGAGGTATTTGGTGGGAGGAGAGAGGTGGTAGGTGGTGGGAGGAAGGAGAGGGTAGGTGTTGGGAGGGAGGGGTGTTGGGAGGGACGGAGGGGTAGGTGGGGAGGGAGGAGAGGTGGTAGGTGGATGGGAGGGGAGGGAGGGAAGGAAGAGGGTATGGTGGGAGGGGAGAGAGGTGGTGGTGGGAGGGAGGGAGGTGGTAGGTGGTGGGAGGGGAGGGAGTGGTGGTAGGTGGTGGGAGGAGGGGTGTTGGAGGGAGGGAGTGGTGGAGGGAGGGAGGGAGAGGTGGTGGGGAGGAGGGAGGGAGGGGAGGAAGAGGATTTGGTGGGAGGGAAGGAGAGGTGGTGGGTGGTGGGAGGGAGGGGTGTGGAGGAGAGGTGGTGTGGTGGGAGGGAGGGAGAGGTGGAGGGAGGAGGAGGGAGTGGTAGGTGGTGGGAGGGAGGGGTGGGGGAGGGAGGGGTGGTGGTGGGAGGGAGGGGTGGTGGGGGAGGGAGGGAGGTGGTAGGTGGTGGGAGGGAGGGAGGGTAGGTGGTAGGGTGGAGGGAGGGAGAGGTAGGTCAGGGGAGGAGAGGTAGGTGGTGGAGGGAGAGAAGGAAGAGGTATTGGGAGGGAGGGAGAGGTGGTAGGTGGTGGGAGGGAGGGAGTGGTGGTAGGTGGTGGGAGGGAGGGAGAGGTGGTAGGTGGTGGGAGGGAGAGAGTGGTGGTAGGTGGTGGGAGGGAGGGAGAGGTGGTAGGTGGTGGGAGGGAGAGAGATGTGGTAGGTGGTGGGAGTTACCCCTTACGGGATTTTTGGCCAAAAATACTTTTTCTCTCAGAACTAAAATATGGCCTAACTATTTAAGTACATCCAGAATAATACACAAGCACCAAGAAATGACCTCGAAAACCCATAAGTGGCGAGTAATTAGCATTGCAAAAGTAATTACAATTTTCTAAAAATCATTTGAACAAGCAATAATCCAGATATAAAATTTTGATTAACAGATCCTTAAGCAGCATGTTTAGGAATACCTATACTGAGATTTGGGAGTGTGTGAGTGTGATATTTGCTAGGTTTACACCGTTCAACACCCTTCTCACATCTATGACTCCAATGTATGTGATCCACTGACCTATATATGCTGCTGGTGAATGTGATGTATTTCCTTCTTTGTGTACGAACCTCTGTCCTGCGTGGCAGTGAACAGTGGCATTACCCATATGAATCTGACCTATATATAGTGTCAATGAATATGATGCATTCTTTGTGTACGAACCTCTGTCCTGTATGGCAGTGGAAAGTGACATTACCCACATGAATCTGACCGACGTATAATAATAAATAATAATAATAATAATTAACGGTTTATTGAAAAAATTCTGCAGCCCGAAGGCTGAAAATATACATTGGACATAAATGACTTATGACATACATTGGTGGTTTATGTGTGCGTGTGTGCATGTATATGTACATGTACGTGTATATGTGTATGTATATACGTATATGTATGTACATGTATGTATGTATGTGTGTGTGTGTGTGTGTGTGTTTACATATATGTATATGTACTGTCAATGAATATGATGCAACTCTTTGTGTACGAACCTCTGTCCTGCATGGCAGTGAACAGAGACATTACCCATATGAATCTGACCTCTATACATTTATAGTTGTTAATGAATATGATGTATTTCTTTGTGTGTGAACCTCTGTCCTGCGTGACAGTGAGAAGTGATACCACCCTCAGTGTCAAGACCTGACTGAATTACTCAGAATAGGCAAACTGTACTGCAAGCTCTGCCAATAAATTTGTTAAACTAAACTAACTTCTCACATCTGTTCCAGGCTAGAGTTTTGGCCTAGGACAAGGTTGAGAGGGAGCCTACCACTGTACCACCAACACCCACTATACTTTAAGTCAAATTCAAATTATTTCATTTCAAAACCTTACAATTTTAAACATTGCAGTTCGATTTCAAGGTCTTCAACTTTACATTTTGTTGTGCAGCTAATTTATAATTTGATTAATTTGATCTATAATTAACAAGGATTTTTTTTCTAAATTTTTAGGCAAAACTGATTTCCAACAATCGGTGTGGTATCCAGATTATCATCATACAGAAAGTAAAATCCCTACTGTACTTACTATGTATACATTACGTTCAAAATAAGTATGTACACAATCAAAAACTTATCTTTACGGACATGGCCGATGAATTTAAAAATATACACCGACACCTGTTGTCTCGGCGAGGTTGTCAAAATCCTTC